CCCCCCCCCGGGACTTGGGAAGCGTACTCCCCAAACGCGAGGGACAGGCGACCCGGTGCAACTTACGACGAGAGGACGATGGCGACGGCATCGTTCATTACGCTCTCCCCAAACAGCAGGGCGTAGAGGTCAACGTCCGCATGCAGCTCGTTAAAGATAGCCAGCACAGTCACTGAAACAGACACACGCGTTTGTATTCATATCTTTGTGGGGACTCTCCATTCATTTATCTGGGGAAAACCCTAATCCCAGTAATGACAACCTTAACCCCTACCCAGCCCGAACAAAACCAAACAAAATACAAGACTTCTGGAATTTTTACTTTCAAAATTGCAGCCACTGATTTTTATAAAATTCAGTTTCCCCTTGTGGGGACTGAAAAAAAAATAAAGAACAGGTTTTGGTCCCCACAATGTAATATATACATATTCCCCCACTTATGCTCCTCCATCCACCCATTGCCCCACTGAGAATGAAGCATACAACATTTGGGTTGCACGTCCATAAGCGCAGCGCCACCTGCTGCTCAGATCTGAGACACGCACACCCTACCTGGGTCAGTGGCGGAGATGACGGCTCCAAAGAAGAGACAGTCAGTGTAGTAAAACTTGTCAGTGAGCTGACCCACGACCTGCATCAGCTTCACCACGCCGTACATGAGGTTCCTGCCAGATGGACAGAGACTGAAAGCTCTGCGATAGGCTGGTCCGGCCCTGGCCTCCATCCAGCTGGGCCCTTACCCCCCCCCCTCCCTAAGCAGGAGGCCAAGCACTGGGTAAATGTGAAAGCTGGCCAATCAGAGCTGACCCACGTCATAAGCAAACCAGGTGGCTGCTTAGGGCTCAACGGCCACTAGGGGGCCCCCCAGCACCCACCTGCCCACCGATCAGTCTCTCAGAACAGGAAGGAAGGTGACAAGTAGATTAGCAAAATTCATTAAGGGCCACAAAATGGGTTGAGCCAGCTGTGTGCACAATAAAGCAGTCATCATGCACCCAGTATTATAATAATAATAATAATTCACATGCATCACGGTGAACCAACTCACCCAATGACAAAGCAGGAAATCGCCGTGCCCAGGAAGGCGTACGTTATGATGGAGCCCAAATTCCGGAAAAAATGCCTCTGGAATTGAGAAATAAAACACAGGAATGGTCACAGTCAGAGCTGAGGTTAAGCGGATATGAAATGGAAGACTTGTTTTCTTCTCCTGCACTGCATTTGAGATACACGCTGTCAGAACTGGAGATCCTGTGAGCTGGAAAAAATAAAAGCACACTTTGGGCTGAGAAAGTAGGTCACAGAGAAGCACGCAGGGAGGTTCATGTGGTTCCTAGTGAAGAGCACATGGAAGGGGACATTCTGCACAATGTCACAGATATCTGGACGATTCGCCCCAAGAGGCATCTCAACAGGCCAAATCACAACAAGAGCAGATTAAACTCTCAACAAACACATAATGTCACCTGACCAAACATAAATTATAATTTGGAACTGCATACATTTTAGGGCTGACATGAGACAGCAAGCATGTGATCCATTATACAATTTGTTGTGCAATGTAGTATTTAAAAAAAAAAAAAAAAACAGAAATAAACAGAATCAGTTCATCATGGCAGTGTTTCTGCCAGTCAATGGGCACCTAAACTTATAGCAAGGGCTAATTAGGTGATAATTATTTAACTGTAACTGACTATTTGGTTTTGAGTTAAGGAAACAGGGGTCAGACTCCTAATCAAGTGTAATGAGTCGGCCAGACAATGTATCGTTGCAAGCAGGTTTACGTCACTAGGGGGAGCCAAAGAGCCAAAGATGTTTTGTTCATATTGAAGTCCGATCTTATGCCACTCAGCTGTGATGGTCACAGGAAAGAGAGTGTGATGTGAGTGAGGGGTGCGAATAAAGCTCCTCCTCCCCCATGAGTGACAGCTCTGCTTAAGTGGAGAACAAAACCAGGAAAATCCCGACTGAAAAGTCCCGGTACTGGAGAAAGTACCTGGATCTACAGAGCAGGGTGAGGGACAGCTGGACAGTTTATAGGCGACAGAGAAACGACAAAAGAGAATGAGGATCCACTGCACCCCCCAGCGTTTCCCTGCCAATATGGAGAACAGCCCCCGTGTGTAAGCAGTAAGAAAATGCTCACCCCACGCAGCTGGGCCCCCCTGGCCTCCTGCCTGAAGTTGGGGGGGGGAGGAGTGGAAGTGTGGTCTGGGATGGGAACAGGTCCCCAGAACGGTTCTTAAAGGGACAGGCCCGAAACCACGGAGCGAGAAAACACTGACGGCACTCAGCTGCACTGATGAGGTTGTCACTGTACGTGGGAACTGCAAAATGAACATCTGCATTTGAGCAGCGCATCGGGACGCATGGGAGGGTGGGGGTCTGCCGTGGCCCTGCAGCAGAGAGGTATGTTCCATGCACCCACACATACACGCACGTATGCGTGCAGACGCCCGTCACAGGACAATGAGGCGGTCTGCGGGCCATTCAAGACCCCCGTTCAGCTCACTCTGGGTCTCAAGGCATCTTCTGCTTCGCTGTCGGAATTCCTAATGAAATCCCCCAGACCAAGCCGTAAGCACCACATCCCTGAGCAGCAGGACGTGTGCGCCCCCCCCACCCCCGCCATTGCCCCCACCCCCCGGGCAATGCAGGTGCTTTTCTTGGCTCCACAAACCACAGTCACTCACAAGCTGCCAGGTGGTTCCTCGACTCACCCAGACTCAGAAAAGAACTAAGAACAATAGAAATAATAATCATAAAATCTGCTGACACACAAGTCAGACGGGGGGGGGGGGGAAATCAGAGAAAGACAGGAAAAAGAAACACACAAGAGGCCACCTTCGGAACTTGCTGGAACCTTCCGGAACCATCCCTCACTCGACTCTTACCGACGGCCCCCAGCAGTGAGGACGGTGCAGCGCACGGCAGTAATCGAGGCCCAGCTGCTGCCGTTACCGGCTTTTTGCAGAACGCTATTATTGTAATTAATCAGCTTATAGATCAGCCTGCCACCGCGGCAGAGGAGGGGAGCCAATCTTCCAAGGCACTCTGCGTTTACATTAAGGCCGGGCAGGAGGCACAGCGTGTGAACAGAGCTCTGTGTGTTACAAGCAGCGTCTCTGAGGTTCACTTCCTTCCAGCCATTAAACACACACACACACACACACACACACACACACACACACACACGTTCTTGGTGAAATTTTCACTTTACCATGGGTTTAGGAGACTTGTCATTACTTGATGGTGAATGGGACTTTTGTAATAAAAATACATAAAATCAATATATAAAAATATATATTTAAGAAATTAGATCCAACTTCCTCCACTGAGTAGCATTTATCTCAGGCACACACCCAGTGTCCTGACTATACCACCAATCAGGGATTACCTCCCCACCTACTATGGACCAATCAGAGGGCTCCTTGTGGCAGCAGGCAAGGCTGCCGATTCTAGATACTGAGGAAGAAAAAAAGAAAGAAAAAAAAGTGCTGTGTGGACAAACGGCCATGAGCCGCACGCCAACCCGTCTGAGAAGATGAGGAAGCTCAGTGACTCCGACCCGAATCGGCAGCCAAACGCCTCAAGTTACCACTAGCCTCTCAGCTCACACCCAGCTAGGAGAGAATCAGATCTCGGCCTACCTTTTTAAGGCTGTATCCGGCGTGGAAGATTATGGGGGGTAACAGGATGTTAAAGAATACCTCCGGATCAAAGGTTACCTGGAAAGAATGAAGTAAATGCAATCAATTAATCGAATTACAAAATGTTCATAAAATTAAAATGTCACTTAAATTTCTTGGGATAACAAATGAAGGGGTAAAGAACATAAACAGAAAGTAAACTGCCAGCATTCAGGCTGATCTCTAAGCAGCACAAACCTTTTGTAGTGACAGTTTGCACAAACGATTGCAAAATCGCTCATATGAAATCCGGCCAGGTCTCAAAATAAACTTTTAAACGGACTGCCGAGCTCACATATCATTCGTCCGCTTATGGTGTGTCAGCCAGCAAAACTGAGAAGTTTTTTTTTTTTAATGTGTTACACAGGAAAAAAAAATGTGTGACCCCTGATCCTCTGCTTCCCTCCAAAGCCCCGCTGGGGACGACCAAATGTCTCTCACAGCAACCCATCGCACTCTCTCCCTCTGTTCAGCTAGAGCAGCCTGGGCCGGTTCTGCATGCGGGTTTAAAAAAGGCAACAGGGGTGTCACAGGAGCTGGTGCTGAGGAACCACAGAACGGACTGAGCAGAGACCAGGTTGCCAGTCGGACCAAAAGGCCTGTAAGCGCGTCAAACCCTAAACAGCAGCGCCCCCTGTTCTGTTTGTCCACGACAAAGAGGCCAGATTCAGTCCTGATAATGATCCCAACCCACTGGTCAGATACAATGGAACAACATGAGTGAATGCGGCCGGAATGGGCCTTTTTAAGGGCGTGAGGCTGTCGATTTGAGCTCTAAACCAGCGTGGCCATTCCTCACTCCAGACATCAGCCCCCTCCCCCAACCAGGAGCCCACGGACAGTGCTATGCTGAGAAAGGATCGGACCGTGGCAGGCAGACACAGATTAGCTGAGCCACTCCCTTATCTGGCCTTTAGTGATGGGCAAAATGACACAATGAACCATTTGCTGTATTATCTGAGCCCACTAGATGGTGCTCTCAGTTTGCTTTGAGCCCTTTTTTGAACAGAGAGCACCATCTAGTGAGGTCAGAAAATACAGCAAATGGTTCATGACACCTTGTGTGCCTTATTTGCCTGGTGGTTCGGGAAGACGCACGGCTTATGGGTCTCAAAAGCCAATCAGAACGCAGCGCATGTCTGATGTCCAGTTCAGTCACTGCAGTCCCCACATACCACTGGACAATTTAAGGAGATCAGTGGGGGTGATGGTTACTCTCAAAGCGACCAGAGTCCACATTGAAATCCCATCATGCTATAAGGCAGTGTTTCCCAACCCAGTCCTCGGGGATCCACATTTTTGCTTCCTCTCAGCTTCCAGCGCAGTACCAGGTATTCAGTGTTCCTGATTGGCTGGGAGCTGGGAGGGAGCAAAAACGTGGACTGTTCAGGGTTCCCCACGGACTGGTTTGGGAAACACTGCTATAAAGTACAGATAACACAAACCAGCTGAGGTTTTTTTTTTTTGGGGGGAGGGCAGGACTTCACCTCCTCTCATCACTCCACAGCGACCCCTGCTGGCAGCTGGGAAAGGTTCTCACCTTGCGCAGCATGTCGTTCTGCTCCACATTGTGGATCTCGCGGGAGTTGATCTCGCCCTTCAGCGTGTACTCGAAGAATTTGCCGCTGACATTGAGCAGCAGCGTGCTGATGGGCCCTGTCCTTAGGGAGCAGCTGGGGGGGGTCTTGTTGTGGTAGCTGGTGGAGGGGATGCCATAGCGCAGTATCACCCCCACCAGGAGACCTGGAAGCACACAGGCGGGGGACACAGAGGCGTTACACAGAAAAAAGCACCAGTATCACAGAACTCACCGCCCCACATGGCTCATGGCCGAATTTCTGAAACATCTGCTGCTTATTTCCCATAATTCACTGGGGCAACGTCATCCACTCCATCTGGACTCAGTTTAGACTGAGGCCCAAGCTGGGGAAGGGGGCAGGGCTTCCTTTGGGACACACAGACCCCCCTCACTGAGGCTGGATCCCGGTCTACAACATTCAGGCAGCCATTCAGGAGTTCATGAAGGCAGGAATGACACAGATAGCAGGTCTCACTACAAAATGAAAATAGAACAGAGCTAGGCACACCCCCTGCCACAAACGTATGGGGAGTGTTTCTTCTTGGGGGGGATTCCATTTCACCAGAACCCCAGCTTGTGGTCCACAGGCCCTGTACAACAGAAGCTCAGACAGACGTGGATGTTGGCCAGGCAGCAGAGCCGTCATGGCCACCAGGGCCGTGTGAAAGTGACGGAAACAGCAGGGAACAAGCGCGTCCCTTCATGGCGTCCGCTGGACGGGGAGCGACCCGACATAAGACTGGCCCAGCTAATATATACAATTATTCTGGCTCTTAATCAAAGACCCCTGACTCTCTCGGCGACTGAGAGCATTCAGGTCTTAAAGATGAGCATTAAAGCAGCCTTATCTTTATTCATCAGTATGCATAACATTAGCATAAATCGGACAAACGACATGCAATCCTACTGTTCATTATGTGCAGGGAGATTAAGACAAAGGCAGGAGTCGTGCGGATGGAACACCACATGTTTCTGGGAACTTTCGGTAAAATCAGGCCCAGTGCTGCACTAGGGAATCTCTGCACCCAGTCGGGTTCTGAAGCCAAACCCGACACACTGGGAAATTTGATTGTGGGTGTTTGTCCTAGTTGGGGTCCATCTGACACCATGTACTTCAACACTGACTGTAGAATAAAGGCATCAGATGTATAATGGAGGATAAGGGTCTGAGTTCAGAAACTTGTTTTCCATTTGACTGCTTTCATATTGCTGGAGGTTTTAATGGAGTTAGCGAGGTTAAGCGTCAGACTCCATGGACCCTGACTGGGCGGGACGGCCCCCCCGGGCTCTGGGTCCACGTCCTTTAACTCTGCGCCTCCTGACAGGTCAATCGCTGATCACGATCGCATAACAGAAACGGAACTGAAGTCATTCCTGGACGCCGCTCGCTGAAACCCCGCAGCGGCAGAGCCTGATGGGGGGATTCCAAACCCTCAATTTATCAATACAAATATGGTGATTAAATTCATATAAAAATACATAAACGTGCTCTTAAATTACAAGCCAAACTCCGCGAACTGGCCTGACAGCCAAGAGGCAGCTCTCTGCTTGTTAAACAGTCCCTACTGGGTCAGAGGTTAAAGGTCAGCCGGCAAGCTAATCGCAGTGTTTAATTAAGATCACGGGGGCCACCCCCCCTCACCGGGGCGCACACAAAGCCCCGATTGAGCTACCGGTATTCCACGGTGACATCGGCGAGGAACGCTAGCAATGTGGGGGAGGGCGGCATGGGGAAGACCCCCCTCACAGATAACATCAGCAGGCTGTTCACACCCTGGCTGTATAAATACACAACAAGCCCCATGAATTAAAAGCACTGGAAAATTACATTTAAAACGCCAGATTTGCTACTAATAATGTCACACTTAACGATTTCACACTGCAGCCCTTAGCACTGGTCTAACCCACCATGAGGACAGCACAGCTTATTCAGTTCATGTGACCCTCAGCGAGTTCCAGCATGAGCCCACAAGGGGGCGCCCTCAAACCTGAGGCCCATGGTCCCGGGCGATTTTATGTTGCGATCTCTCGTCGAATGCCAGTCTACAGAACACCTGACACACTGACCCAAGCAGTAAGATTACTAAATGAGCTGAAAGCGCTGCAGGCTGCACCGAGCGAGCTAAGCACCCAGAAGGGTGTCGGACACATGCACACGCGACTCCATGTGAGCCTGGACCCAATTCCCAGCCTGTGAGCCTGGACCCAATTCCCAGCCTGTGAGCCTGGACCCAATTCCCAGCCTGGTTCACCGCCGACTGACACTTAACCGGACATTTGTCAATCCTCAGTTTAAAACTGTTTTACCTCCAGAATTTTGTTAATTAGGTAAAAAAAAAAAAAAAACCTTTTACCTAAACAAACTTCATTTGGTTATTTTACTAGCCACTGCCATGCATGAGCTAACCAAATAAAGGGAAAGTCGGTGTGGATTAATCCTCAGTTACATCACAGGAGCCATAATTCTGCTCGTACAGCTCGTGATCATTGGTATCTACTCGTGGTGCACAGATATAACAATTTTGAACGATATCGATTACCGATATTTTTTGTCTAATATCGCCGATACCGATTACAAGCTAACCTCTGAGCCAATAATCCAGTGGTGGTCAAACTTAGCGGAATGACGTTACATTTTATGTGGCTTTTTATATTCTGCGAAAGACAAAAGATTGAAAATACAGACTGGGACAAGTCAATGTGTGAGATCCACCCCCCCAACTCAGCAAATTTTATCATCGGGGAACCCAGGGCTTCTTCCCGTATTTCCTGAGACTGAAAGCAGCAAACCTACTTCTAAGTGGTGAATGAGCCAACATAAACCCGCGTCATTCGCTACGCAATACTGGCTGATATTCCAGTGCAGTCGTCGTTTTAGTAGTTACATATCGGCTGGCAATATTGGCCAAGATTGACACATCAGACCAATATCTTGATTTTTAACAGATATCGGCCAATACTGATACGTTAACCAATATATCGCACATCCCTAATACGTACAGTTTAGATGAGCCCAAACTGATGAGTACCTCATTAAGGTGTAGACCGGAAGGTGTTCATTGGGATGAGAGCCCTGATTACACCCTTACAAAGACCCCCCCATGAGCTGTCAGCGCTGGCCCCCTTCAGACACCCCTGGACACTGCTGATGAATCGCAGGCACTCCCCATTCCAAAGGGGCTCACTTGAGGAGTCCCGCGTGAGCGGCGAGCCAGAGCAGAATGGGCCGTTTCACGATGCGGAACAGCAACTGCAGGTCAAAGGATGCAAGAGGAAAGCCGGCGGTGCAGCGGCTGTGCGGTGCAGGAAGGGCTGCCCGGTGCAGGAAGGGCTGCCCGCTGGGAGACACGCCCACCAGCAGGTGGCACCGCGAAGAGGAACCGAGAGGAAGCGGAGTGCTCAGGCACAGCTTCTGCACAGACAAAGCGGAGCGTGTCCAAACGTCTGCCCCCCCCCGACCTGCTCCTGGATGCTCTTCATGCTCATGCAGCACCGGCGTTTGTTCCGGTTGCACGGGTCCCTTTAGCTGCACCATCGCAAAGTGCCCCCCCCCCACCCATATGCTAAAACACTCGCCACCTGGTATCAGTCATGGACTGCGCATGTTGTAGGACAAGCAAGGAAATCCACAGACACCCAGGTTGTCCCAAAAGCAAGGGAGCAAACAGAAATCATGGGAACGGAATCCGGCACAGAACAGGAACCTGCAAGGCTCCACCTCTGGAAACTATCCACTTAATACCATTAGACCTGATGCCTCAGTGGCTTAAGCCGTTTCATCGTAAAGCAGAAGGGGGGGGGGGGGGGGTTCCTGATTCCTTTAGCCCATTTTCCAAAATAATCCGATCAAAGAACCTGCAAGTTGTATTTCTCAGTTCGCGTTTCCTTCCCACATCGGCGTCTCAGACAAGAACGACGCTTCTGGAACCGAAACTAATCCTCCACAGCATGTCCTCGGCCCGAATCGGAGCAAATCCCAAACAGTCCAGCAGGGAGCGCTGTTGCCGCCGAGACCCAGGGCCCCTTTGCGGGCTCCCTGTCCGCTGCCCGTCTGCCCAAAACCTCGGCGTCTCACGCGGTGCCTGGGGGCCGGCCGTGGCGATTACGGACGTCAGAATCGGGACGATGACAAACAGTTTAGCGGCAGCTAACAAACACCACAATTAGTTATAATATAACAGCAAAAGAGGAATTCATCTGGTTATCCTTACATACAGCCATAAGAACAGTGCGGACCACGCTGTCTCAAGATGGAACCAAATCTGTTAAATACATGGAGTTACATAATCACATAAATTATAGGACTTTTTATTCTGCCGGAGGCTCTCATATGTACACGATAAACATGGATATTAGCGGCCTGTGTGATTTATACACATGTACTCTTCCCTGTACACAGTGTGCTGAAGATTTATTACACTGGAGGGCATACGGTGCCCCCCCCCCCAGCCCGTGGGGACAAGGTGACGCCGGGGGCGGGCACAGCGGATGCAACTGCGACTCGATGCTGGCACTCTGGGAGAAAGACCCAGGAGCTAAAAATTCTGTGTGTCACTGGTGATCCGGCAGTTTCATAGACAAACTTCCCTGAGACGCTGCCAGGACTAACTAAAGGACAATTAACCAGATTCCAATTTACAACCATCAACCTCAAAAAAACAAGTCTAAGATGGTTTCCAGTGACAGAACTAAGATGGTCTCCAGTGACAGACCCACAGCCACACTTCAGAATGCCAGCTATCGCGAAAAGAATCGGAGATTAACAGCTGTGTCATAAATTATTATTAATTACACTTCCCTGCATCTGAATCCAACTACTTCTTTAATGACTTCCCAATCGGGCCTGAAAAATGCAGAGGTATCATAACTCAAACCCCAGCTTGTAAGGTGATCACAGAGCAGCCCTGACCCATGTTCAACACCATCAAGGAAATAAATACAGGCTTCTTCATAGGTCCCAGTGTTTATGAGTAGATATTGTTCCTCACGCAACCAAAAATCAATGGATAAGCAATCGAATCTCTCTATTTCACCCCTCATGTCTCTGTATTGGTGGAGATTATTTAATGGAGTATGGAAAGAGATCTAAGCCTAGTTCCCAGGTCCACACAAAGTACACACAAACACTAACAATCAGAGTTGTAATGTAGGCCTGCATGGTGTTTCAACAAGAGGTCCATTAACACTCAATTCAACCACTGAGCAAATACTGGCCAGATTCTTAACAGCGGAGCGGGAACATTTCGCCCACGTCTTTTTATAAGCGCGAGTTGACTGGCTCTCTGATCTCGATGGCAGGTACTTATTTAAACAAAGCCCTTCGCTCAAGAGACATTTTCACCCATCGTGGTTCATCATGCTGAAGCAAATAGATCATCACGTGAACCACGGCGCTATGTCATGCCTTGTTCTGTGACATCCGGTTGCAATCGGGGATCTGAAAGAGAAGATTTAAGGCGCTGCGGGGAGCGAGGGATCAGAAGAATCAACCTGGCGAAATTGTTTTTTTTATCTGGCAAAGCACGCAGCACGACGATACCAATACCGGGGAAGCGATGATTCAAAAAACATGTGTTTGAAGGTCGAACAGCTGCACAACGGTACTACAAAGTGAAGCATGAAAAAGCAAAACCCACTGAAGCAGTAGGAAACCTGTGCTGTCTGCTTCTATATGGTGTCCTTAAAAAGCACCACAGATCCTGACAGCTACAGCGCGTATTAAGACGGGCTGGACTGCGGGAGCCAAACGGACGAGTCACCGGTCATTGTGGGTCAAAAGCGAGCCGGTCCCCTAGATGCTCAGAGCCTGAGGATCCTCATGTTACGCTAATGAACGTCTGCTGGAGTGACCCTCCTAACGTCGCTTTCCGGGGATCAGAACCCGTCATCATCCGAGGCTCCTTTCAGCAGGCATCTCTTCCTGCAGCCACCCCCCGCCCCGCGTATGCACAAACATCCTTTCTATACAAACATCACGTATTGCTCGCTGGACCCTTCCAGCATCTCTTAATGTTGCCCATCTCACGTACGAATGATCTCGCAACTGCGGCGATCACAAAAAAGCAGGAGACCCGTCTCTCCGGGCAGAACAGCCATGCAGCGAGGTGCGCAGCTCATGTCTCACCATAGATCATGGCCAAGCCGGTCTCATGCAGGAAGCGCACTCGTCTGTGCTTGAAGAGCCAGATAGTCAGAATGGTTAATGTCAGCAGTAAGATGAACGTCAGGAGATTCACGCTGTCCTGTCTGTGACTTTCCTCAGCCTCCTTCTCAGTGGCAAGTTCCTCCATAGCGCTGTCCTCGGCACTCATCTGGCAAGCTTGAGACAGCAAGTAAAGCAGAACGAGAGGAAAAGTCTTCGTCTGAAAAGCGGGGGTCCATTTCCACGGACTGCGGACCGGGTCCATGGTGCGAGGCGCCGCCAGCCGATCGCCTGCTATGCTCCTTGGCACTGCGTAGGGCACAAGCAAAACAATCCGGGGAGAAAAAGCCCCGGACTCTCAGCTCAGCCTTTTAAAGACACACTGCGCCGTTTGCTGGACTGGCTGAGCCGATAGGATGCAGTGCCCCTTTCGATAAAACACCAAATGACTACGCGTTTTACTAAGACACCATTTACTGCTGAAGGAGAGAAAAGGGAAACATATCTGTCGTAGATCACTATTTTTTGCGATGCGTTCTTATGGGTCTGCGTGAAATAAGAGTATAGGACTCACTCTGGATTGATTAAATCTAAATTCTTAAGGAACCTACAAAATGCGCCAATAGGGCGCATGACCTTACCAGCAAAAACGAAAGCTACGGCTGAAACTAAGCTACGCTCTTCTTTTCTATTGGATACAATATACCTATGACTATGGTCCGTAGCCACTTGCTTATCTTAAAAGTTTTAACAGTGTTGACTCAGAGACTTGCAGCCAAAAGGAATAGAGGAGTATCAGGTTAAATAGGGGACCTTCAAACCTGAATATCAAGTCAATAAAGTGCATAATTCTAAGCTTCCGGATCACTGGGCAAATAACGCATATGGATGCTTGGAATAAGTCCAATATAAAGGGTGCTGTATGTAATGTTATATATTTTTTATGTATTGTTCAGATAAATATCAGTGCAAGTACACATGTAATTCTTATGAAACACTGCTCCTTATGTCCATTCATTTTCTAACTGCTCATCCAGTCAGGATTGCCAAGGTCTGGAACCTTCATCCCTACGTGAGATACGCATTTATTTGTTTTGGTTGCTTTTCTCCTGCAGTGATTCATATACTCTCCCACCGGCTGGATACCAAGGCAGTTACAGTCCCAAAGTTACCACCATGCAGTTTGAGTGGGACGACGCCAGCAGCTGTCGACAAAGGTGGTGACATTTAGCATTTGACCTGCATGCCATTTGTGCTAATTATTTGTTGAAGGAATCCTTTATACTGTCCACATTTCTGGTCAGGGGCCTCTCAACTCAGGTATCCTGAGTGTAATACAGGTGTCTTCTCAACGAGGTGTTTTCAGTCTAAATGGACAGGTATATATGTGTGCCACTCTAAGCTCAATTCTAAATTGGTCAATGTCAAACAGGAAACCCCAAAGCTCTTTGTTCATCATGGATTCTGCGGTCAGTTTCCTTTTCACGTCATTGCTGACATGCCATGTGATATCTGGGTCTGTGACCCATGAAGCCTCCCTTTCGCCGTTAAGTTCAGATGCCGGGTCCTACTTGCTGACTCTGGAACTTCTCCCTCGAAAGGGTCATGAAACTGTCATCAAGAATCATCAAAGCAACTTCTGAACAACAGAACAATTACTTATAAAAACAGAATTCTTTATATTTCAGACGTACATTTTCAGAGAAAATATCGATGCTATTTGTATTTTTTCTGAATGGAAAAGAGGTCACATAGATTAATAAAGGTCACACGCCTCATTAGCAATAAATGAATGAAAAAATTGTGGTAATCTAACCATAACTATCTGGAATATTCTACGATTCATTTTCCAATTTTCCAGTACACAATTTGCTACGAGGTTGTTAGTAATCAATGCATATTCAGAACATTTTCAGTATCGGTTTCGGAATGGAAATGGCAGCACTGACGCTACAAAGTATCTTAGATTGCAGCCAAACTAAATTAAGCATCCACCATTCGGGGGCATTTTTTTGCAAACATTGATGCTTTCCATCGTGTTGATGAAACAGTAAGTAGTGAGCTTTCTTGGAGGGGAGCAGTGTGGCTGGATCAATCAAAAGCACGAATTTGATCATTTTAGGAAGATCAGCCTAATGTAAATTGTGTTTCATGGTAATCCTAGCTCTAAAACAGATCTTTGATCTGTGGCTTAATGTTGTATGTGGATATTCACTTTTTAAGAGACCATATACATTCACTGAAAATTAGGTTAAATGCTAGTGTGGGTTGTGCATTTTTGGAGAATCACCTTGCAATCAGACATGAAGATCCATGTATTCCCTCCGTGGGTAAATGCACGTTATATACTGTCACGCTTTGCTTTGGCAAAATATGTATATTGGGAAATAGTATTGAAGCGCGCCCCCTGGTGGTCATCTTGAAACATTTGACCTTGTATGGCGATTTTCAGGCTCCAGCAGCTCAAGGCCAGTTAAAAATGAGATGTTTCCAAAAAAAGAGTATTATATTAATTTAATGTTTAATCATATTTAGTAATATGCCCATTTGTTTAAGCAAAAAAGTGAGCTTTCTATCCCGTATTGTCCAGACTGCTTACATGTATATAGTAGGGTGACCAGATAATCCATGTCATGTTCGGGTTTTACAAACTACTTTCAAATTGAAAGGCTCCTGTGCTCACCCAAATAGTTCAGCTCTTCTTGTGCTTTGACTAGTTTGTTTTCTTGACTGAAAGACCCATCCAGCTGTTTCAATAGCATTAGTGACACATGCATGACTATAGGAGACTGACCAATCAGCACACAGCAAGAACTCAGCGCTCAAGTGAAATCCAGGTCCGTTTAATTGAAATGGTAATTTACAATTCCTGTCCTAGCTCAGAGTGTCCTCCCTGACATGGATTATCTGGTCACCCTAGTACAGGGTTCTTCATCTCTGGACCTCGATTCCAGATCCAGGCCATGTTTTCAGTTCTCCCAGGTAGTTGTTTAATAATTACTGATTCTGATTGGCCAGAGGCTTCACACCTGACTGACAAGTAAAGGAAGGCTGGAAAACCAGCAGTGCTCAGACCTCGAGGACCGTGAGTTGAATAACCCTGCCCTAGTATATAGATAGTAATTTATTATTTAACTTAAGATGGTTTTATGAAAAGTTCAAACCAATACAATATTCAGATATTTGTCTTGGACTGGAGTTTTGTGGGCATTTTCAATACAACATTTACATACATACCTTAATTACATACTGAGTCAAAGTATTTTCCTGACCTGAAATATGTGGCCTTTTGAGACATTGAATTGCGTCGCATCCACCAAATGTGTCAGTTTCCCCCACTAGTCATTTAGATGGTCAAAATTTAAAAAGTTAACTTGTCTGTCTAACACGTGGTCTGATAACCCCCAAAGCTGCTGATTTCATCGCAGTTCTGTGGTTCAGTTCGCCCGCACCTTGGCACAGCATGATGAAGGACAATCCGCAGTGCAGTTTACAATCAAACAGGAACTTTATATTAAACTGAACTCAGACATACATGAAACAAACGGAACCACGACGGCTCAAAACAAAGGATGCAGGTACACTATCAGAAAAAGGTTACATCCCTGTTACAGTTTTGTTCCCCAAGGTACAAACGACAATAATATACCCCAATGGTAGAAAAATACTCCGTAGAGTCCATTTTGCACCTTGAAAGGTACATTAACCTACTGCTTGAGAGTACAGCCCCAGTAATTGGGCTCTCAAAGGTACAAATGGGTACTTTTTCTGGCAGTGTAGGTTAGCTTAAGGCTCATTTATGCTCAGCGTTAAAACATTTATGGTTACGTATCTTCTCACCGTAATCTGCGTTAATTCATAACATACTCATGAACAGAGTACATAAAAAGTATTCTCACAACTACATTTTCAAAGCACCTAATACTACAAATGTTTGAGCAGCACGATTATTTAATATTTTCACCTTACTTACATGGTGACTACCCTCCTTCAGCTGCATTTTCCACCGTCGATGACGTAATTCCCGGAGCTAAGCTTCTAACCGCAGCTGGACGTACACAACTTAATGAGTGTTTGCCAACGTTCGTTCAAATTATGGTTTTGGGAAACACCCGTGTGGTTCAACCTTGGTTCATAATATGTAAGTTAGCAATATATTTACTTCCATAGTGCGAACTGAGGCTTCGGGAAACCACGTGCATGGAACCTGCAGAGTTCCAACTATGCTTTTGGGAAACGCACCCCGGAGCAGTGCCCCAAGAAATCGTGGGGTGTAGCCAGTAATTCAAGCGAAACACTATTATAACATAGTATACTATATGTAACATATTACAATAAATAATATACATTACAATATAGGTATTTACCAAGAAAATTATGCTGTTCGCACAATGTATTATCAGAAGTGCACAATGATATTGTGTGTACTGCACAATCAGGGTACTCAGCACTCTTTTTCAGTCCTGCAATGTTACATTCTTGTTAACCTGCGAAATTTCCCTCATATTCAGACGGTTTCTAATCAGATTAATGATGTCAAGTACATGGACAGCGATGCACACGGATCAGCATGTGCAATTCACTAACAATCAGGTTCCCCGAGTGTCCATTCATAGCACGAAGGGTGTAATAACTGGTCTAATAACTCTAAAACAATGAGACTACAAGTCCATGAGCAACCGTCTAGAACGCTGCCTCTGCTTTTGCCTTTCTTAAGTACATCCTTAAGAACTCTTCCGACGTAGCCATCTTTGTCAGAAACTTCTGACTGTGCTGCCCTCTAGTGGATGTGGTGATTAACATCTATGTCAACCTAAAGGATGCTTGGAAGTACGTGACAGTGACGTTTACATTGTTCGAAACTGAATATTTTTTTTAGTATGCGGTATTGCAAACTTTGGTCTGCTGGCTGGTGTGAGGTTTTCAATGTAACAATGTAACAATTTTACTACCTTGTACAACTACCCCAGTGCTTTTGATGTAGCTAAGGTTTATAATGGAATAATATAGATTTGCAGTAATATTTCTTGCGTTAAAGTCAGAAAACCCACCCTTTGCATCTATAACAGCTTCAACTCTTCTGGGAAGGCTGTCCACAAGGTTTAGGAGTGTGTTTGTGGGAATTTTTTACCATTCTTCCAGGAGAGCATTTGTGAGGTCAGGCACTGATGTTGGATGAGAAGGCCTGGTTCGCAGTCTATGCTATAATTCATCACAAAGGTGGTCTATGTGGTTGAGGTCAGCGCTCTGTGCAGGTCAGTCAAGTTGCTCCACACCTTATGGACCCTGCTTTGTGTACTGGTGTGCAGTCATGTTGGAACAGGAAGGGGCCGTCCCCAAACTGTTCCCACAAAGTTAGGAGCATGAAATTGTCCAAAATGGCTTAGAATGCTGCAGCATTAAGAGTTCCTTTCACTGGAACTAAGAGGCCAAGCCCAACCCCTGAAAAACAACCCCACACCATAATCCCCCCTCAACCAAACTTTACACATGGCACAATGCAGTCGGGTAAGTACCATTCTCCTGGCAACTGTCAAACCCATACTATTCCATCAGATTGCCAGACAGAGAAGCATGATTCGTCACTCCAGTTAACATATCTCCACTGCTCTAGAGTCCAGTGGTGGCATGCTTTACATACTTTACACCACTGCATCTGAAGCTTTGCATTGCCCTTGGTGATGTAAGGCTTGGATGCGGCTGCTCAGCCATGGAAACCAATTCCATGAAGTTCTCTATGCACTGTTGTTTAGTTAATCTGAAGGCCACACAAAGTTTGGAGGATTGTAACTATTGACTCTGCAGATTTGGCGACTTCCGCACACTGTGCGCCTCAGCATGCGTTGTCCCCGCTCTGTGATCTTACGTGGCCTGTCACTACGTGGCTGAGTTGCTGTTGTCTCCAACTGCTTCAACTTTGTTATAATACCACTAACAGTTGACCGTGGAATATTTAGCAGCGAGGAAATTTCACAAATGGACTTATTGCACAGATGGCATCCTATCATGGTACCACACTTGAATTCACGGGGCTCCTAAGAGTGACCCATTCTTTTGCAAATGGTTGTAGAAACAGTCTACATGCCTAGGTACTTGATTTTATATACATGTGGCTATGGAAGCGATTGGAACACCTGAATTTAATGGTTTGGAGGGGTGTCCCAATGCTTTTGGCAATATAATGTATATAGACAAATTTCTAGGACTATTCAATTCAAAATTTTAATTCAAATTATTTATATAGCGCATTTTCACAATATTACCTAACAAGTAACAGGTGCAGGCAGGGGCAGATTAACGCACAGGCTAGATATGGCTTAAGCCTAGGGGCCCCACGTGTGCCAGCCTGCAAGGGGGCCCCCATTGGCGCGGAGGGGGGCAGGGTTGGGGCGCCCACAGACTACTGTAGCCTAGGGGCCTCTGTGCACCTTAATCCGCCCCTGGGTGCAGGACATTCACAATAACCAGACACTCAGGAATAACCGGGGAGTGTCATAAATTTAACACACACGCAACAAAAACAGTCTGGGATACCTATATTTAAGCCTTTAATGTGCATTTTATAAAATTTGATTCGGTATTTCTCAACTACGTTGTAAAACATGCTACATCGTAAAAATTTGCATTTCAATGTTGGGATGCCCCATGTTTCAGTCATTCGGCGTTCCGGCGCCTCGCTGTTACTAGGCAACGAGCCGCGAAGCGCCGATTGGCTGCTGGGAAGGACGAGGAAATGGGAAGCGCTCAGGTGGGCGGTGGCGTCGCACAGGCGAACAGCGGGGCGGTGCGGAGGAGGACGACCTCGGCGTCGTCGCCCACATAACTCACTTTATCGTGCTGCTTGACGGGGGCGGAAAATGGGCTGCTGCTACTCCAAACAATCCAAAAGGAAGTCGGCTGGAAAAGAGCCGGCGGCCGAGAGTAGCACCAGCAACAACAACGCGACGGGCGATGGCACCGGAGAGGCACCGAAGCAGTACAGCTGGGACAAGCGTGACAAGGTACGTGGCTGCTGCGGGAATAGCTGCTTATCTCCACCTGGATTGTAAAGGGAAGCAAAGCGAGGCGCTTTCCTGTTAAGCAGCGGGATTTCTTGCATAGATCTCTTTGTTGTGAGCGTCTTTAACAGGTGATGGTTCTCGCGGACATTGTGTGTTTCTATCATGTGTTAAATGTAGCATTTGCATCATTTCCTTTCGTGGTGCATTAGGCCCACCGATCGCTTTGCGTGTGAAGTTTGTTTACCTTTGCCTACTTATTCCAGAGCTGTTACAGTGAAACAGACGGTGTCATGTCTCCTGTAGAGCTTATTACGGGATTTATCACAGCTCATGGTTAGTCACATTTACCGCAACGTGACGGATTACGCGTTAAACTACCGGGTTTTGCCGTGTTTCTTTTTTGTAAATGTCATTTGTTCTGTAGGTTTTATCTCTTTATTATAAAATTTTTCTGGAATTTCTTAATATAATTTGTGTTCTGCCCTCCTTAAGGTGTTATTGTTTTGAAATTTCTATTTTTTCCCGTCTTGTCTATCAAACACGCAGTTTCTAAATCTCCTTGCAGGTTATGAAACGTTGATTTTTGAGCATCCCATCTCCCTGTCACAGGTGGACCCTAAGGACTACATGCTGGTGGGGGTGAAGGATTCCACAGTGGGGCGCCTGCCTGGCATGCTGAACGGTCAGCAGTTCGTCATCCAGGACTGCGAGAACTGCAACATCTTGGTCCTCGACCACTCGGCCGCCATCACCGTGGACGACTGCACAAACTGCCGTCTGGTGCTGGGCCCGGTGAAGGGCAGCGTGTTCCTGCGTGATTGTAGGGATGTCCAGTGCGTGGTGGCCTGCCAACAGTTCCGAACACGCGACTGCAAGAAGATGGACGTCTTCCTGTGCTGCGCCACCCAGCCCATCATCGAGTCTTCAACCGGCATGAAGTTTGGTTGCTTCCAGTACTATTACCCTGAACTGGCTTTCCACTTCAAGGATGCTGGCCTCAGCATCTTCAACAACAACTGGAGCAACATCCACGACTTCACGCCCGTCTCTGGGGAGACCAACTGGAGCCTCTTGCCCGAAGACGCCATGGTCCTTGACTACGTGCCAGCGCCAGATGCCGATTCGGAGTTCCGATCTGTAAGGGTCTCCAGCGATGCCAGTAAGAGCATCGTACCCCTGACGCATGGGGCAAGACGAAAGGAGAGTGAGGAGTCCTGCCTGTTCATGTTCTTCGCCGGGGATTACACCATCGCCAACGCACGCAAGCTCATCGACGAGGTGAGACCGGGCATCCTCCGATGCCACCATCACCCGCTTCGGGGTTTATCTTGCTCCTTCGGTCTAATTGGTGCAGCTAAAGATTTAATTTTAGTCATGCAGTGCAGGTCCATGGCTTGCACTGGAATTCCACTGTCAGCATTGTGTTCAGGGTGCAGTGTTGAACTTCCAGCCGTTTGGCCGTTAGGTGTTGGTCACCGGTTCCTGCAGATTTTTGCATGAACAGCTGAGGTATACATGCATGCATACATACACACGTACATGCATGCATACATACACACATTCATACACACATACATACATACATGTGTATCCATGTTAACACCAAACAGATGTTTTCTGCTGAACTTCCTTTGTTAAACATTTTATTCTAGATTGGGATTCTCAAGCTCTGGATTCCAAATTATGTCTTTTTTGGGATTTGGTATCTTTTCCCACTGTCATTCCAAACAAACATCAGCACATACAGTCCAGGACACTCCTGTGTGTAAAAGTGAAGGACTCAGACTGATTCGTATTCTGCTCTAATACTAGATGCTAGAGTTTCAGTGCTTCCCAGTACCAATGATTCATTCCCAAATAGTCCAGACAGTCTGCTCCACTTTTTGTGATTTGTTTGTTTCTTTTTTTATTTTATGGGTTATTTTAATAATAATAATAATAATAATAATTTTCTAATTTTAGTGTATTATAATGGTGACATTACCAGTAATGAATACACTGACAGCCATATTACGGCACGAGCAGCTGCGGTTGCCTCAGCAGATCAAACCTGCAGCTACGGCCGCATTCGTTGGTTTCCTGTTACTATGGAAACCGCTCTCTGCTGTGGAGGGCCTCGCATGCTGCATTCCCGCCTGATTTCACGGGGAGGGCAAACTCTGCTGCTTAATGAACAGGGATCAGTTTGTGTATCACTCTTTCTGCTGGATTTTTATTTTTTATTTCCTACCATGTTACAGGTAACTGAAAGGAGCTTTGTTCTGATCCAAACCAAGGAAGTCTCGATGCGTCCTGAAGATGTCAGCAGAGTATTCCAGAACAGCGCAGAAGGTCTCGCGGAGCTGATAACCAAAGGTCTGTTCACTGAAATGTTGTTCTTTAACAATTACAGTTACAGTAAATGACCATACCATCATTACTCAAGCATCACCGTGGACGACTGCACAAACTGCAGATCTGATAACTAAAAAAACTAGGAAGCTCAGAAAGACTTTCATTCACGGCCTGCACTTCAGTAGGTTGGAACACTGTGCCTGAGACCGCAAGGTCACCAGTTCACATTTCAGGGTCAGCAGAGTTCACTGACGGGCCCTTGTGCAAGATGAGATTAATTTTATTAACGCCACCAAGGGGAATTTCCGTGTTACCGCAGCAGTTATAGTCAATACACAAAAAATAAGAGCACAGTATGAAGGAGCATAAATGCACGAGTGCCAGAATGTGTAAACAAAGGCCGTGAGGTTAAGTGCTATGTCCTTAACCTCCAATTTCCTTCAGAAAAACATTATATCACTGGATAAAAACATGTTAAATAAATAAAATGTGGGCAAAGACAGTGAATGTGTAGCGTTGTTGCAGATGTAGGTGGCAGGTCTGAAGGTGCCTTTCAGACTCGGAGTGTCACCTGTCATGGTTCCCCTACCCCCAGGTCCGGTTGTCGCTCTGGAGTTAAATGGAGATGGGGTGGTTGAGGCTTGCCGGGCCATCGCCAAGGAGGTGTTCAGCGGAACCAAGGTAGAGCATGTGACCACGCCCACCTGATCCTTCCACTTCACCCCACCACACGCTGGATCTGACCTGTGGTTCTCTTGGTGTCTTTGGTTGGTGCATATTGGCTGACGTCCTCTCTCTCCCCCACAGGTGTTTGTTTCGGAAAGCGAAACTACATCTTCGAGGGACGTGGACAACTTCTTCAACTTCGCTGACATGCAGATGAGCCTGTGAAGTTCGGACCAACAGGAGATAAAAATGCATGAATATGTTTTTGTTTGTTCAGTCTGCAGTATTGTGTTTCAGTTCATGCCATCAGTGAACTTAAGATTTACGTTAAAGGTTTTTACAACAGTCATGCAGTCACAAACATACAATACAACTTTTATAAAGATTTTTTTTTTTTGTATTGATGAATGTATTTTAATAATTATTTGTTGTCCATATTTCTTTTATAAATATACAGTGTATTTTTATGTGAAAAATACTTACTTTTTAATGGTCACTGTTAAATGACATTTTAAATATTAAGGGAAGATGCTCCACTTCAATGTGAATTCACATATACAAGAAGGCAGTTTTTAAATGTTTTAGTCTGGAGTTTTTTTGTTCACAGAAAAAAATTCTGTACATTTTTAATGATAATGTACTGTTTTAGTTATATACCATGTGTGTTAAATGTGTGTTTCCTTTATATTTGTATAGTTTGCATAAATAGTGATTGTGTTTTAAAAGGGCTCTTCACATATATGAATTTACAGCCCTAAATATAAAAAGATTTTATACTTCAGACACTTTTATTGAGGATCTAGATCCTGTATTTTCTCTGGAAATGACTGGGGCCATTTGTTATATAATTTGATTGATCTTTTTTATATTCCACGTTTGTTTTCGGAATTGTAGTATAATCGGCATCACAATTTGCTAATCAGATTATGGTAATATGTATGTTTTTACTTTATTTTAAGGAATATCTTTAAACAAGATGTGATTGTTAAAGAAATGGGTACTATTTTATTGGTATATTAAATAGAAATTACTACAATCACTATAGGTTTTTTTTGCATTTTAACAATTCATATTTGTGCACACTTTAGATTAGTGTAGATTATGATGAAAATAAAGTATTTTGTCAGACTTACAAATTTTACCTGCTTATGTTTTTAGAAACATAAAATGGGTCTAGGTCTGAACAATGCTGATTCTCATGTGGACATAGTATGTTCATTTCCAGCAGGGATGGTGCCAGATACCTGTAATGTGAAAAGAGAGCAATATTGGGTGCCATGTTTGCAGTATCTGGGCATGCTTGGGTTTGGACTACTCAGCTAAATTATTACAGAGCTGGAAACCAGTAAACTGGAGGGATAATCTGAAAACAAACACCAGTACTGCCAATCATAATATACATTATTTTATTAATTTAAATTTCTGTAAGCCAAAGGTTGGGTTATGAACAGGTTGTAACGTAGACAGGTGTTTTATTGGTAACCATGTTTGCTGTGTTATTATGGGCCCAATGTGAGAATTTCATGCTAAAATGTTTGGTGGGTGGGGGTCATAATCATTTAAAAAAATCTTTAGTTTGCCCATTGGAGGTGCTGGGTGAAAAAAAGTTGGTGACGTGACATGTTCATTAATAAGGCTTTTAAATAAAGTTTATTGAAACGAGCTCCAGCAGGCGGAAGGAGCCAAACAGTGGTGACGGGGCGGAGTTTAGGACCCGGCGGCACTGGCAGTACAATAGAGCTGTTGTGCTGTGGTGGATGGAGAGGTTGCAACGCTGGGAAATGCAGAGTGGCATGGAAGGGGGTAAATAAGGGGGGGAACGCTCACAGTTTTGCGCCGATTAACACAAGTTGGGGGGAGGGAAAAAATAAGAGTGGATAGTTTCCTTACGCCGGGGCAGCATGGTCCCCCGCCTGCTGTTGCTGCTGCTATCGGATCATTTCGGGTGTAAGGTAAGGTCGCTGCATGAACAATACTGCCCGTGTGCTCAGGCGGCTCTGAAACACCCACATCCCGATCGGTCCAGCAGGCCAGCGGAGCCTCCCCACCTCTGCCCCACGCTCCAGGCGGACATTTCCTGACAGCGCGGGAGGTGCCCATCGCGGGCGAGCGGCGATCGAGCCAGGCTGCCGAGTTCCGAGCGACTCCTTTCGCCTTTAATGTCAGCGGCGGTGGTGCCTTTTTTTCATTTCAGCCGTCGCCGAGCCGCGCCGAAGCGACCTGTGCCGACTGGCACGCATCCGATCCGTGTCGTGAAGCGCCGATCCGATTCGTGTCTCGAGGCGCCGCTTCGCGACGTGTCGTGGGTCCCGAGTTTGGCGCCAAGGCGGTGGCGGGTCGCCTGGGTCGCGGGGACGTCAGAGATGACTGGACGCCGTTTATACCCGCATTTCTCCAGCCAGAGTGACAAACAGCAGTGACTGGTTTTTATACCCGCGACGGGCATCTGCAGCCTCGCCATGTGTGGATGGCATCGGAAAGGTCCGAAATTACCGCATTATATAAGGCTGCCGAGTCCTGAAATAGTCCCGCTTGTCCGGCTGGTGATTTCCTGTTGTGTTTCAACGTGCAATCCACTCTCCTTCTTCTGTTAAAGAATTTTTCTTTTTCTTTCATTCTTTCTAGATTTCTGAACGTATTTCTCGTATCTATCTGTTGCTTTCATTTGAACCTCGAATGTAGTGTGTCTTATATTACATACAGGAGAAAAAGTACAGAGGAAATAATATTGTTCTTGTCGGACTAACGCAACAGTGTGAAGCAAATGAAAAGACAAGGTCCATTCTGGCAAAGTTTAAAGAATTGAGGCTGTCCTCATGTGCAGAGGATCTTTTGTTGAAGACCCATGTCCCATTCGACTACTGGATTAGTGGGTTGGAATTTAGGAATTCCTCCTTGTGAATATGGGTCTCCCCTCCCCCCAGACCTTTAGTCCTGCTGGGGAGTCCCTGCATGGGAAGTGCAACTCATTTTACTTAAATTTTTTTATTAATGGAGAAAATAAGTGTATGCACATTTCGGTTAATTCCATTTTTGGCTCAGATATGTGGTGAGGTATTAACCTGCTGTTAGTTAAGTCTCACTTTGTTCAAGCCTCCCAGTGCGAACAGTTTCCGGTCATACTCTAAGGACACTCCGTCCTGATATTTTAACTAGCCTACAAAATTCCTGGGAGTTTGGTGGTCTGACTTAAGGGGTCTCCTGTTGCCCTAACGGTAAGCTGAATGGGCCCTGCTTTGTATAGCAGGGTGATAAAGACCAAAGAACCTCCAATGTGGACTTGTGGTCCACAAACGTTTGCCCACCTGCTTGGCGAGTGGTTTTGACATGGGAACTGGCAAAGTCACACCGAATACTATCTTTACAGTGATATTTTGTAGCAGGACCTGTAGTGAAATTTCCCCCCCAAATTTTTACCCGGCATGCCGTCCTCGCCTGACCTCGAGGATTGAACTGGCAGACCCCCGGCCAGATGACAGGCCCCGCCCCCCACCTGTGTTTTCTCATCTAACGGAAATCTCGGTGTTTACAGCCAGTTCCTTGCGTGCCTGCCCCCCCCCCCCCAGCCATGCTCCCACCCCCAGCTGGCACCGAACCCTGTGCTTCGGTTGTGCCAGCTCTGCTTTCCAAGGAACTCCACGATGTGGTCCAGGGTTAGCGCGTAAATCTTTACGAGCCGCGCAGCGCTCCTTAAATCACAATGAGGGGAGCTTTTGCTGCTAGGGGACCGGGGGTAGCTGTTTGCTGGTTACTTTTTTGCCTTGTATACTCTGATCCCCTTTTGGGGGGAGGGGGTGGTGTTGTTTGAAATATTGTTAGCGTCAAACAGTAGCGCTGGCCGGTTGTGTCTGGGGTACCTGCACCTCATGAGGTTAAGTCAGGCTGCTTTATTTGCAGTTTAATACTCCTTGTTGGCAGTTTGCTCCACTTCTGATGTCGGCTGGAATTTTCAGTGCTGATCAGAAAACTCACGCACATTGTCCATGTGTTTTTAGATGTGTAACTTTCGTCTGCATGGTCCCTAAACTAGACAGATGGAAGAATAAGATTATGCATATCTTTCTCCCTATTCTTCTGCTTAGCCGGGTAGGAAACCTTAACCTGTTTGGGGGGGAGGAGTAGGAATGAAGTCGATGAGATTAAATAATGACCTTTGGAGACATGTGGGTGTGATTTTTTTTCTGTAATGATGGTGAAACAAATGATGGTTTCAGAGAAGAGTAACACTGACATTCTTTGGAGGATCGGGGTTTTTGGGAGGATAAGGGTGAATGTCTTCGAGCTGAAGCCATACCCTTGTGTCCTTTCTTTTGCTTTTATTGTGTCCACGATCATGGTGGTGCCACTAGGGATGCCCCGCAGGTGTTCTACCCACTTCCGGAGTTGTGTGACTGCCTCCCAGTGGCCGGTTCTGGCACGCCGCCCCGGGCCGTGACGGCTGCCACTTCTGCTCCATCCCATTTGAAGTCTCTCCATCACTGTTGAAGTTCGTGTTATCCATATGCAAGGATACAACAGAACTCGCCGTCAACAAATAGGGTTCACTGGCTTTGAACGTCTGCTGGGTATTTCAGTCGGGTATTTAAGTCTTCTGGATGTTCACGGCTCTTTATTTGATCCTATGAAGTAGAGATGGGCGATCCACCTTTTTCAGTTCCGATCCGATTCCGATACACAACTGCCGATACCGATACAGATTCCGATACAAGAGCTCTTTTTACTTTGTTATACTTTATATATAATTTTTTTAAGCTAGTAAATACAGATGGAAAAAATGGATGACAAAAAATATTTCATTAGGCTACTACAAACATACATAACGTACTGTTCCACCTCGTTTGTTTTAAACGTTTTTGAAGCATTTGCAGTTCAATATGAATTTCTTCAAAGCAAGTATACACAAGTGGCCAATGCTTAAAATTTTAAGTTTTTCTCCCATTGGCGTCAGGACAGTTACACTTTTGTTGCGATGGCAGCCCCTCTTGTAGCACAAGCTGCAGCGAGTTCGCAAAACAGTCCAATTAAGTTAGCGACTCCCAAATCATCCATTGCTTTGTTTTGTCTCGCAGTTGCGTATGCTTTGTTAAATGGGATTGTCCATTAAACGCTATTCCCACCTCAAAACTTTATTTTACATATATTGCAAATCGCTGTGCTACTGGTTTCTGTTAAAAGCGTAAAATAGTCCCAGATCGTCACGTCTTATCTTACGCTCCTCGTACTGCGAAGGGCATGCGCATGATGTCACAGCAGACGGAAGTCACTGTACTCACACCCACTGAGTAGATACCCGATCCGTCAAATAGGTCTGGATCGGTGCCAATACTGATCCGAATATCGGTATCGGTGCATCTCTACTATGAAGGCCTTTCAGATGGCAGCTTTAATTCCGCTTGAATCTGTTGGGTTGTAGCAGCCATCAGTTACGGTCCCTCCCGTAACTGGAGCGCCGCGCCTTGCTTTCTCTTCTTCCTTTGTTCCTTTCTCCTCACTGTAGCTCGACGGTACTTTTCCTGGCTTGTGTGTGGTGCTTCCCAGGTTGAATTAAAACGGACGCCCTGGTACCATTGCCGCTGAGGTCTTGGGGTTCTGCCACACACTTTGCCTTTTATATCACTCATAGGAGCCAGTAGAACAGTTTGTCTGCATCAGGTTGTGTGTTTTATTACAGTTAAATGAGTTGAATGTTGGCAATATTCCAGTAGATACGTTCCATGGCTGATGATCGCTAGTGTTCGTTGTGGACGAGCCCTGGGGGCGGGTTAACCCTCTCCCACCATATAATTGTTACACAGACTGTTAATCTCTTTGTTAGCCCCAATCCCAATGTTTCCTTGCCTCGTATTTGTGGATTTCCCTGCTCTGGGAGCTTTTCACTGGCAAGAACCCCAGATTTTTGTTATATCCATCATATTTTTAGTGAGAAACTGGGACACCCGTGCTGAATTTTCAAGAAGCCGGTTGTCTTCTGCTGCCCCCCAGACTAAATAATTCATGAGCTTTTAAAATTAACCGATGGGGTGGAACTGGGTCACTGTTAGATTATTCTTCATAACTTTGTAAGAATGCCGTCTCCCTGTGAGATTCCTTTTACTCTGCTTGGAAATGCCCTGATAAGTGAGATGAGATAAAAGACAACGATACCTCTGGACGAAGTTTTATCAAATCGGGGATTTTAGAAACCCTCTGTAACCTCTGAAGTTCCTGGTGAGTTACCAGAAGTGTGGACACCAAGATGGAGTTCCTCAGCCTGAAATGCGGTCTTTCTTGTTCCTGCACAGTCTGACTTGTCTGTGTAAGTCAGTCACAGCGGCCTGATCGCATGCTTTTTTTCTTCTTTAAAAACTTCTCCGTCGATTGGGGAGAATTCTCATGCCGCTGTCAGACAGGGTGCCTTGTTCTCCCAGGACACTGGGCTGTTAGAATTCCTCACGTTTGGAGGTAGCCAGCTTCCTGTATAACCAGGCCCCAAGACACATTAATCTTACTGGGCACGTTCAGGGCGTGAAGGCAGCTGACCAGCAGGGGGCGATGTATGAATCAAAGTATGCTTCACCACTTGTCCTTCAGAGCATTTTAAGGTTGATGTTTGAGGACTGAGCTGCATGATAACATGTATAATGGATATTTTCGACATATGGATTAGTTCCACTATCAAGAATTTTCTCCTAAATCACGATCAGTGATTTGTACTTGGGTGGTGGTCGTTTTATGTGTTTGATACAAAAAATTTAATATAGAGTCTTTTCCATTGCAGTTTGAAAAATCAAAAGGTTGGTTCAGTTCACTGTCCCTGTGTGCAGCACAGTTGTCTGAACGAATGTGTAACGTTTCCAGATGGTAGCATGGTTAGATGACAGCGTCTTTTTGTGCTGCAGGAAGCTCTCCTAGTCTGTGAGGATGCAGCAACACTGCGACACAGTGAGGAAGGAAGACCTTCATAGTAAATGTGTTTTGAGAGCCATGAACATGTTTAGCCCTCTGGGGGGGGGGGGGGTTCCTGCGAGGTGGTGGTGGCGGTTGATGGGGGCCCTTGATACTCTTCCGGAAGCAGGAAGGAGAACAAGAAGGTTCTGTGTGTGGGTCAGGAGACAGAGTTTTAAGAGTGGCTAAGGGTTTGGGTCTTCTGTGCTGAAAATGTAGGGTTTGTGTTTCTGGAGAGCGGACGGGACCTTCGGATGGGGATGTTCTACCACAATTCTGTGATGCAGAGTACAGCGGCATACAGATGTCCTGTTTGAGTAGCATCAAATGATGGCCAAAAACGACCACCCATCACATGCCGTCGTGGAACCATCATGCATGTTTTCTACTTACAGATACCAGCATGGTGGCTCTATTTCAGCGCTGCCTGTGGGGGGAGCCGCTGATGTTTACGCGGAGCAGCTGCCCACCCCGGGTCTGCTGCTGCAACGTGTCCCTTGTTAGCCAGATGTACAGCATCAGATGAATGAGGCTTTTAAATACATTTGGGGTGGGATTACTGGCCACCGTCAGACTCGCCAGCTTTCGTTTCCCATTGGCTTAAACTAAAAAATGATTGACAGCCTGCAGTAATCCCGCCCACCAAGCCATGTGCCCTCCAACACTGGGCCCTAGTGTTAATCTGTTACTCTGCAGGAATGTGAGCAGGATTTTTTGGGGATATTTTCACAGCAGCCTAGTATGTTGCTCCCCCCCCCCCCTCTCCCCCCCCCCCCCCCCTCTCCTGGCCACCCCTACCCCCATGGGATGTAAGCCAATGAGCTCCTGGAAGGGGATGCCCACGTCACCCTGACTGTCTTCTCACGTCTCCTCCCTACCCCAGGACACGTCAGGATGAAACGCCAGCGGTCGTCGAGCAGTAGCGACAGCTCTGACAATGAGAGTGAGTACAGCAGTGCCCCCTCCCCCCCCAGTCACACACACACCCCTGCCCAGGGCATGTTCAGCGTGTTCAGACTTGCCAGCCCCCCCCCCTGCCTGGAGTGTGCGGTTCACCCCGACACAATGGGACGCTTTGTACAGACTCATGCCAGCCCAGAAGTTTACTCATTTTTACCCTTGTGCTTTAAGAGGAAGGGGGGGTATTTATGTGTCTGGGCTTTTTTTAGTATAGCCTCCTCCCAAGATGCCACACATGCACTCGCACAGAAAGACAGCCTCCCTCATGTCTGTTAAACCTTCTGATGGGGGGGTGTCAGCCTTCCCAGAATGCACTGCCCGTCAGAGTCAGTGTAGCAATCTGCATATCGCTTGCTGCTGTCTGTCCTCCTCTGCGGCTCCCTGCCAGAGCCTGTCTGCTCTCTGCCATTAGTCTCTCCTTTGCACCTCCTCCTGGAGTTCCCAGGGACGTGCTCTCCTCTCATCTCCATGGCAGTGAGGCTTGGAGCCGCGTGGGTATGACGGCTACAGCTACTCACCTGTGCTCCCCGATCATCTTGCAGGTCCATCCACCTCCTTCTGCTCCTCCAACAAGTATGGCGGCAAACTGGGGACCCCGGTGTCAGAGCCGAAGAAACCGGCGGAGGTGGGAGCACGTGTCCTGCGTGTTGCTGTGTGCCTGCAACAGGCGGGGGGATGGGATGTTGGGGGGGGGGGGGGGGGGGGGGCGGGGGGGGGGGGGGGGGGGGGGGGGGGGGGGGGGGGGGGGAGCAGGAGCCTTTAATTGAGGATCAGGACCCTTTAATTGCAGGCTTGTTGATGTTAATTGCAGACTGGATTTTGGTGCTTTTAACCGTTGACTGCGCCGCAAGCATTATGGGTAAAAAACATCTGCTGACCAAGTAAATGACAGTTGCAGTTAATGGCTTTGACTGTATTAGTAAATTACGGTATTGAAAATAATGGTATTGACTTCTCACCTGGCGTGTAGGTGTTCAGGAAGGACCTGATCAGCGCCATGAAGCTTCCGGACTCCCACCACGTTTCCCCAGATGACTATTACTTGCTAGCAGACCCCTGGAGACAGGAATGGGAGAAGGGGGTGCAGGTGTTGGCCAGCCCCGACTCGATCCCGCAGCCGTCCGTCAGGTGCGCGTGCCGGTGACGCTCCCCGTGCCTTCTCAGGGACCTTCTGAATGAATTCCGTATATCTTTAGCAGACTTGCTTCAGCAGAATATTTGGGATAATTAGGACAGTCATGATGATACAGTTTATAATTAGAAAATGGATTTTTCCATTATTGAAGGCCGCATGAATTGTTAAGCGGCTCGGCTGGAGTGAAAGGGGCCGGTTTGATTTGCTGGGTCCATTTGACTTTTGACCTCGTGGTTCATGGAGGATGGTAGAGATTAACAGTCATGTCTCTGTGCCCCGTGGACTCAGGGTCGTCGCGGAGAAGCCCAAAGAGACCCTCTTCTCCAGACCAAGGAAGTACATCCAGTCCCAGAACCAGGATCCAGCGGAGATGGGCTATGTGAACATCCTGGAGCTGGCAGAAGCTGTGTGCCGCTATGACCTGGACGACATGGACCTGAGCTGGCTGCAGGAGCTCAACACAGATCTGGAGATGATGGGTGAGGAAGCTAGCGGCGGCGACTAACGGTGGGGTGATCCTTCGCAGGGAAGGCTTGCGGGATGACGTGTCTGTGCCTTCCGGCCAGGCGAGCTGACTGTGGACGAGCTGACCATGGAGCGTGTCCTGGCGTCTCTGGAGAGGCAGTGCCACGACAGCATGAACCACGCCATCGAGACTGAGGAGGGGCTGGGCATCGAGTACGATGAGGATGTCATCTGCGACGTGTGCCGCTCGCCGGACAGCGAGGAGGGCAACGACATGGTCTTCTGCGACAAGTGCAACATCTGCGTGCATCAGGCAAGGGGGGCGAGTTTCTCATCATGCAACGCAGCTGCACTCTGTTTCTTGAGAACCGTTGTCCTCCCAAACGAGTCTCTTTTAGGTTCTTTGATGACACCTAGTGGTGTAAGGTTGAGATGTGCGGTCGCTGGTGTTTTAGTGTTGTGGTTGGGAGCTCGCGCAAGAAATGCGTCGCAGGCTGGCTGCGGCTTCTGGTCCTTCTGGGCTCTGTCCCCAGGAGTCCCCCCCCCCCCCCCCTCATCTTACGAGGACCCGCTGTGTCGCAGGCCTGCTACGGCATCTTGAAGGTCCCGGACGGGTGCTGGCTCTGCCGGACTTGCGTCCTGGGCATCGACCCGCAGTGCGTGCTGTGTCCCAAGAAGGGCGGCGCCATGAAGGCCACGCGGGCCAGCACCAGGTGGGCCCACGTCAGCTGTGCCCTCTGGATCCCCGAGGTACGGCAAGCGCGGTCGGGCTCAGGAGGCGGCCTGCTGCCGTTACACCCCGTCGGCATGGCGATGCGCTGACGAGCGGCCTGCTGCCGTTACACCCCTTCTGCAGGTGAGCATCGCCTGTCCGGAGAGGATGGAGCCCATCACCAAAGTGTCCCACATCCCCCCCAGCCGCTGGGCATTGGTGTGCAGCCTCTGCAAGCTGAAGACGGGGGCGTGCATCCAGGCAAGTGCCATCTCCAGCCGGGGCCGGGGCCGGGGGCGGGGGGGAGCTCATGGTAGGGGTGTGGAAGTGCTTGTGAGCATTAAGGGAGCTGCATACTTCAAACGACGTGCAAATGAAAAGAGATCGAACACGTCAGAGAGAACAATCTGTCACATACTTAAAATGACGCCGCCCCCTTGTTCTGTGTCACGCCAGAACCCTAGAGGGTGCGAATGTTTCCAATGCAACAGACCCACAAATAGAACGCAAGTGAATGGATTTTGGCGAGTGCCTGAGTCATCTTAATAAACATGACGGCTCTTTTAAAACAGAAATTGCCCTCTTTATTAACTGCAACTATCGGTTCTATACTAGCGGTGGCACAGACAGGGAAGCCAACAAGTCACACAACTCGCGTTTACACACTAACGGCATGCATGCATTCCATGACGAGCATTATGCAGTTGGGACATTTACTCTTCTCAACATAAATACATGGATGCACATTTATTTGCACTATGTACAGATATGCGGGTTGTGGTGCAAAGCGTGCAGGTAACTTGATGAACCGCGTCGCGTGGCTTCACATCCTGCCGGCCAATCATGGACAGTGGGTGGGACCAGCACAGATTTTTTCTTCAGGGACCCTGCGCAGGCCGTGCACTGAAACGGCGATCACTGTTCATGCAGCATCACATTAAGCCAGTGAATGTAAAAATAAATGTTATGCAGCTGTATTCCCGGCAGTGCTACACTGCATAGCACGTGTTGCGCACTGTAAGATAGTTGCCGCAGGAAAGTCATGTACGGCCAGCAGTCCCGCGTTGGCTCTGTGAGCCCGTTGCCCCTGCCAGTGATAGGGACATTCTGTATTGGGGGTGATTTTGGGGTCTTTTGCTTGGTATTCTGTCAGCCGGTGGCCCTCTAGGGGCAAGTCAAGGAAAAGACACCCATAGCGCTGGCCTCCCCTCCCCTGACTTGCTCGTCCCCACAGTGCTCTGTGAAGAGCTGCATCATTCCGTTCCACGTCACCTGCGCCTTCGAACACAGCCTGGAGATGAAGACCATCTTGGACGAGGGTGATGAGGTCAAATTCAAGTCCTACTGCCTGAAGCACAGCAAGCCCAAGGCAGCGGGGGAGGGGGGGCTCAGCCCGGTCCAGCAGAAGCCCTCCACGGGGACAGAGAAGCTGGGACTGCGAGCCCGCAAGCTACGTGAGCTGGAGGAGGAGTTCTACACACTGGTGCATCCTGGGGACCTGGCCCGGGACATGGCGCTGTCCCCGCACCTCCTGGACTTCATCTTCCAGTACTGGAAGCTTAAACGCAAGAGCGGCTTCAACAGGCCCCTCCTCCCTCCCAAGGAGGAGGAGAACGCGCTGCTGGAGCCCAAGGAGGACGGCATCCACACCCGCATGCGCATGTTCATGCACCTGCGACAGGACCTGGAGAGGGTGCGTGCTGTCGCCGTGGCGATCCCCGCCCATGCGGTGCGGGCTGAGGGATAGCGCTGACCTCTTTGCCTCCACGTCGCCCCCTGCAGGTGAGGAACCTGTGCTACATGGTGAGCCGCCGCGAGAAGCTGAAGCTGTCCCACAGCAAAGCCCAGGAGCAGATCTTCAACCTGCAGGTGGAGCTGATTAACCAGGAGCTGTCAGCCGGTAAGTAGCCGTCTGTCCTTGGAGGGGGGAGACTTATTTTCCTCTCTGGACACCTGCTGTGCCCAGATTAGCGGCGAAGTTCCTTTTACGGCGCTGTGCACCCCGTGTCATTATCTGCTAGGCCTGATGCACTTTTGGAGAGTAACAGTCCTTTCTCTTCTCCAAGGTCTTCCCCTGTCCTGCCCCCCTGAGAGTGGGCTGATTCAGGCCCCCCCGAGGATAACGCTGAAGCTGAAGATGCCCAAGGTCACCCTTGGAAACGGGAAGACGGCTCCCAAGTCTGGCAACGGGCCCCTGTGCCCAGACCATAGCGCAAACCTTTGCGAGCGGGGCAGTGGTGGGCGGGGTCATGGCAAGGGGTGGAGCCGGAGGGCGGGCCAGGTGAATGGGGTCCCTCCAAGCTCGAGGGAGGGCAGCGCACCAGTTAAACCTATCAGGCCGTCAGGGAAACCCCTGGCGCTGCACGCGGCTCTGCACGGCCGGCCTTCCAATGGCAGTGGGAGACCAGAGACTGTCCGGAGCCCCAGGCCCAATGGAAGCCTGGAGCGGCCCGCGGCCCAGCTGGATGGCTCCTGCCAGACATCCTGCGAACGGGTCACCCAAACAGGCCCCTACAGGAAGTCTGCCATGGACCACTTCAACGAGGCCTCGGTCAGCCTGACCCGGACCACCGAGGGTCTCCGCGTCCACGACAAGCCCCCACGCAAGGGGTCCGGCAAGGAGCGGCCATGGACCAAGTCGGCGGCGCCACAGCAGACTGAAGACGGGTACTGCCCCGATTTGGAACTCAGCGACTCGGAGCCCGAGACCCAGGCCCGTCACTGGCGGGGGCTACGGGCACACAGGGCCAGCACGGGGCCGGAGGGCCCAGCCCCAGAACCCGGCAGGGGTTTGGGTCGGGGCAAGCCAATGCTGGGGCCTAGGACCTCTGTGCAAAGGTGACGACGCCCGCCCAAGTTCTCTCTGCCACCGTCCCCCAAATCCACTGCCTCCATGTCCTCCGGAGAGGTGCTCAATGCCCCACTCACGGGTTGGTGCCAGGGGGTCACAGATACCCGGCGGCCTAGTCTCCGGGTCCCCAGGACCCGTCCCCGGACCTCCTCGTCCCCGGACCTCCTCCTCATTTACTCTCTCTGGTTGGGAGGGGCCAGTGGGCAGGTGCTTCAATGCCTCATTGTGGCTCCTCACCCATCGTCAGGTTGTGCCATCAACAAACCAAACTCTTGTCCAGTCTGGTTTGTCTTTTGTCCTCTGGTGTAGGAGTGTTCTTCACCGAGTCCCTATTGCCATATCTTATATTTCAGATGCACTTCCATTTGCTAGGGCTGTAAATATTGATTTGAAAGGAAGAGATTTTTAAAAAGCCTGTTTAAGTGACTAAGTATAATGGTGAAGAGGAGGTGTATGGGGCTGCACATTTCAGTGAAACTCACATTTTATCTTTTTAATTGCAAAATGAAAAAGGCACTAATGACCCATCGTTTCATGACTGTCATGTGACCTGGTCACATGATCGCTTCTAAGTAAACGCAGGCTTTTTCCTGGTCTACCTCTGCTTTGGTCTCCTCATGACCTTCTTGTTCACTCCTCTGATGGAAATTCAAATCGCCATTCACACGGAATGTGTACAATTTATTTTCCGTTTTGCCAGAGTCTCCAGTTCGGAACGATGGAACGTTTTAAGTGAAGTACCTCTTTGTGAGAATCTTTTTTTTCCCCTTCTAATTCCATAACTCACAGCATCCCAAAGAGCTGTCTAACAGGGACTCCCGGATTCTGTGTGTTCCTGAAAAAATGTTCTTTTGTGAGGATGTCTCGCAGTTCAGTCCAAAAGATGTCACTGCAAACCACCCCTCCCAAATGTACTTTTCAAAGATGTGATTTCTTTTTTTGTCTTGGCACAAGTAATGGAAATGGTACCAAACGGCACAAAGGGAAAATCGCAGTCGGTTAGAAATCCGGCCGTGAAGAACGCTGGCTCTGCCTCTTCCGGGCCGGGCCGGGCCGCTCAGATGATGGTTTTGTGGGAGAGTTGAGTTTGCTACTGTTAGCTGGCCCCCCGCAGCTCTGGGAAAGTGAGGTAGCTGATGAGAGGAGCCGGCAGCCCGCCTAAAACGCCAGGCTTACATCCAGTCAATGTTTACCGTAATGGTTAAATAGGGCGCTTGAGGGAGAAGTTTTCATGGTTATTATTTTCTCTGCATATTGAGCCCCCTCCCCCCATGATCCACACTTCATTTAGTGAATTTTGTTCAGTTTTCAGGTCAGAGGGAACGTTTTGCAGTGTTTCAATTTTTGTTGTTAAAGCGTTAGAGGAATAGCACAGCTGCTCCTAGTCTTACTGGAATTATGGATTGATAAGGCAGCGGCATCATGCTCAGATATGCCGAGGTCTGTTGACCGGGGGGGGTTGGCGCATAATCCTTAAAGCTGCTTCCCTGAGCTATACTGGGAAGAGCTGTGCTTGTGGGAGAGGGGGTCCAGATGAAGCCATTGAGGTCTGGCACGATTAATAGTGCTCGATTCAGCACAAGTGCCGCTCTGGGTGGTGGAAACGGCAGCTGTGTTCGTACCGCAGTCCCCATATAGACACACAAAGTGCACTTCGAACCGTGTTACACAGTGCATCAGCGACCTTTGACCTCGGTCATTTAAACTGAGGCCAAGTAACCACGGACTAGTGAGAAGCGTGAATGTCAGCAAGCATTTGTGACATCACTTTTTTTTTTTTTTTTTTTTTTAATCCCACACCGGCTTGTTCTGTTGGCTGTTTCAGACCTTCTATTGGGTTTGTCCCTGCGGGGCAGTTGTGTGAATCAGAGCAGACTGTGAAAAGGATTCTGGCGTCTGACAGGTGTCCGTGGGGCGAACAATCACCACAAGGGGCGCCGTCAGCGTTGTTCATCATAGGCCACCTGCTGCTTTCCCAAACAGAAGATGTGTGCTGCAGTGCAGGTTCACACCCCCGTGCCCCGTCTGTCCGGTTATTTGGTGGCTTGGCCTGCAAGCCACGTCACCTCAGAGCTGTCAGTTTTACACTGGGTTACAACAGCATATGTGAATTTCCAGAGTCCTTTTTAAAGAAACATTTTTCATTAAATTTTGGAAAAAAAAATGACCCTGTCACCTGGTCTGTCATTCTTTGACTTTTGATGCAAAAGATCAAGTCAAGTTGGACTTTGCTGTCACACCAGCTATATTCAGCTCATCGCATTTGGTGATGCATAATAATGTTCCATGGATTGCGGCAATAGACAGGATTAGTGAGAGACGCATTGACAACATGGACAAACAATGTAAAAGTAAATAATGGGCAATGATGGAAGCATCAGAGTGGTTTGTCGAGGTTGATACATCAATATCGAAGATAAATAATGAATACTGGTAACAGTGCAATGATGGTGCAAATGGCAATAAAGTAACTAAGTGCTGGTTGTCGGCAGCATTAGAGTGAAGTTCAGATCTGTGGGGACAGGGGGCAGCAGAGAGTCTCTCCCAAATCTCCGCCCACAAACCAAATCTGTCACATCACTTCTGACTCGGAGAGAGATACCTCTTACACTACATGGATATAAAAGCATTGGAACACACCTCTTAATCACTGAATAAAGGCATTTAATTGAGACTCATTGCCACAGGTGTATAAAATCAAGCACCCAGCCATGCAGTCAGGGTTATAAACATTTGTGAAAGAATGGGTCGTTCTGAAGAGCTCAGTGAATTCAGGCGTGGTACTGTCATGGGATGCCACGTTAGCAATAAGTCAGTTTGTGAAAATTCCTCCCTGCTAGAGATCCCATGGTCAACCGTAGGAGGTATCGTCGCAAAATGGAAGCATTTAGGGACAAAAGAAACTCAGCCACGAAGTGACAGATCACGTAAAGTGACAGAACAGGGTCGCTGAGTGCTGAGATGCATAGTGTGTAAAAGTCACAAACACTGTTTACTCGATAACTGCAGAGTAACAAACTTACTCTGGCATGAACACCAGGGCAATACTGTGTGCCGGCATCTTCATGGAATGGGCTTCCATGGCCGAGTTGATGCATGCAAGCCTCACATCACCAAGCGCAGTGCCAAGCGTAGGATGGAGTGGTGTAAAGCACGGCCCCACTGGACTCCGGAGCAGTGGAAACGTGTTCTGTGGAGTGACGAATCACGCTTCTCTGTCTGGCAGTCTGATGGACTGAGGGATTGGGCTAGACCCCTTAATTTCAATGATAGGAACTCTTAATGCTTCAGCATATCAAGACATTTTGGACAATTCTATGCTTCCAACTTTAGTATGATTGTGCCCCAGTGCACAAAGAAAGATCCATGAAGACATGGCTGTGTGAGTTTGGTGTGGAAGATCTTGACTGGCCCACTCAGATCCCTGACCTCAACCCCATCAGACACGTTTGGGATGAACTAGAATGGAGATTGTGAGTCAGGCATTCATGTCCAACATCAGTGCCTGATCTCACAAATGCTCTTCTGGATGAAGGGGCAAAAACTCCCACAGAAACACTCCAAAATCTTGTGGAAAGCCTTCCCAGAAGAGTGGGATTAATTTCACAGCACACAACAACAAAATGTGTGGTTTGCATTTAACTAATTTGCATCATAGTGAAACAGCAGTGTGTATCTAATTCAGCACCCAGGGAAAAGTACCTAACTCAGCAGTACTGCACTGGTTGGGGATTCAAACCAGCAACCTTCCAGTCCCTAACCATTAGATCACCAATAGGGGACTAATTCCATTATGGTGCCTATAGATTTAGAATGGGATGTCATGAAAGTAGCTGTAGGTGTAATGGTCAGGCGTCCCAGTAATTTTGTCTATATAGTTGAATGTAACTTTCCCAGATATTCTAGTAATTGCAGATTAAAATGTCACCACTGTGCCAGCTGTGTCCTGTAACCAAACTGCTGTTATATTAATTATGCCTAATATAATGTCCGTCAAGCCTCCAAGTCCAGTACATTAATTTTTGGACTTTAATACGCGAGCAGAATTTTCATAGTGCTTAGGATATGACTTCAAGCCAAGTCTGTAGGGTGGAAACAACATTTAATCTAAATCCATTTAAGGTGCAAAAACAGGCCATATGTGGGTTGTTGGATCGGGTCTGCAGTGGCCAAGTGCAGAGGCACCTGTCATCGGTATCCTGTGAAGCCACACACTGACGATTTATGGCAAAGCTGATAAATTTTAAACTGAAAAACATGCTTTAGCTAAATCAAATGTCCCCTGTTTATTCCTATTATCACCCTTGTTTATTAAATTTTGTATGTGTTACATGAGAACTTGTTTATCACACAGAAAGCTGAGAGCTGTTGGCTGTATCTTCGGTGATTAATGCACCTGTCACTTGGGTTTTTTAATTCTTTTCTGTGATATATTGTAACTGATAATCAGTCTACACAGAGCAATTACAATTCCATATTTGCATACACATATCTGAACATCGAATCTTCTGGTCCGTATCTCAATAGGAACTGGAAAGAACTAATTTTCGCCGTTAAACATTAAAATGCTTCATATTTCAAGACTGTTTGCATACAAACGATCGTCGCGTTTCTGTGTCATTATGCAGTTATGTTGAACACGTAGTATTCCAGCCCATAGAGTTTATCTGTATATTAAACTGTGTCGTAAAACGCCGAATCCAGGCTGCCTTTGGTGACCGATAGGGGCGCTCGACATATCGCTAAATACACGGCGGCATTTAACCCAGCGAAGGGAGAAGTTTACTTTCTGCTTGCGGGGATTTGTCACACGATTCGGACTAAAGGGGTAAAGCAAACGCGTTTATATGCCATCGTCTCCATACACATAAGATTGTACTTATATTCGCTTCGGTACATTTCAGAAAAAGCAAAATTTTCGATGTTTTGCATGTACTGGCATGCAAACAGCGTTTTATTTCCCTAACGTTGCGATTTTATTGGGCGTTAAGTACACGTTACGGCGATTTGTTCTGGCCTACTTTTGAGAACAGTTGACTGTTTAGTGTCACTTTTGCGAAGTCGCATGAGAGTCATGTGCTTCATTTCAGTCGGAGGGAGTTACCGGGTTTTCGCCTAGCTGTCTGAGTAAAACTCACTGCAAGGGAACATACCGAGAAATCAGCGTGTTTCACACACCTATGTGCATATTTCTGCTACGCCTGTTGATTTCCCTTTTTGAATGTTCGAGTTTGGCGCAGGGCTGACAAATCGTGCTCTGCGTTTCAGATCATGTCTTCCGTTAAGGTCGAATGTGTTATAAAGGAGAGAAACAGGATTGCAGAAAGCCCGGTATGGGAAGAAGGCGACGGCACACTGCTGTTTGTAGATATTATGGGACAGAAGATCAAGAGATGGGACCCCGTGACCAATCGGACACAGAGCTTGGCCACAGGTGAGAAGGTTCAAGGCTGATTAAGTTTTTTTTTTTTTGTGCTCTGAAGATATTGATTCCATAGAGCAATCTTCATTCTCAGGACCTCTGTTAACTAATGTTGTTAAAAATGCATATAGAAACTAACTAAACGCTCAAAAACAAACGATATTAATAAGAATGCATTTAAATTTAAAGTAGAAATTCTGTTAAACAGAAAAACACATTTCATCCGACAAATGTATCCAAATCCTCGGTCATTTAGAAAACCTGGTGGGCTCAGTGGTGCCCCGGCAGCGTGGTGGGTACGTGGCCGCGGAGGGCACACGCTTCATCGCTGTCGACTGGGAGAAGCAGTCCATCACGGCCATCGCCCAAATCGACCGGCAGCAAGACAAGATCCGGTTCAACGACGGCAAAGTGGACCCGGCGGGCCGCTTCTTTGCAGGTGCCAAGTCCAGACGATGTCTGTGGTTGTTCTGATGTATGTGGTTCTGAACAGAGCAAAGTGGGTCGTGCTGTGTGGACGCTGATAGGAGCCGCTGTGGATGGGATGGTGTCTCCCTGCAGGAACCATGGCTTTGGGCACAAACCCTGCAGAACTGGAGAGGGGGCAGGGTGCGCTGTATTCACTGCAGCCCGACCACACCGTGCACATGCACGTCGACCAGGTCTCCCTCTCCAACGGCCTGGACTGGTCTCCAGACCAAAGCACCTTCTACTACATCGACAGCCTATCCTACAGGGTGGATGCATTTGACTACAGCGTAGCAACAGGAAGCATCAGTGAGTGGTGTTACATTAGGGGATTAATTGAATTCGGCAAATGGGCTTTTGGTCATAATGTCTCATCCCCGACCGTATGAGTCATAACAGCAGGATGTGAATAATGGCGAAAATACATTTAAGGCCCTTGGGCGAGATCTGTGACTCGTCGAATGGCTGGACTTCTGAAAAAGCACTAAACGATGATGAGACCGGATGCAGTAATTAAAAGATGGGGGAAAAAAACCCCTTTTCGGAAGTTTTGGTTCTGGTCACATCAGGAAGCTGCCGAGGGAGATCAGGCTGGTCCAGGCGTGGTGTGAGGTGGACTAATGTGTGGATGCCTGGGAAGGTAACCGGAGGGAGGTGTACCGGCTGGAGAAGGAAGAGGGCTTTCCCGACGGCATGTGTGTCGACGTGGAGGGCAGGCTGTGGGTGGCGTGTTTCAACGGGGGACGGGTTCTGCGCATCGACCCCCAGACAGGTGCGAGCAGCACGCTGCAGGTGTATGTGTGTGTGTCTGTGTCAGCACTCTAACATATGTATGTGCGAATACGGGTGTGTCTGTGCAGGCCTGTGTTTGTGAGCGTCCGTGCAGGCCTGTGTTTGTGAGCGTCCGTGCAGGCCTGTGTTTGTGAGCATCCGTGGGTTAGTGATACCCGGACGGGCACTTGTGTGCCATCACACGCGTGTGTTTCTGCCACATCCCCCAGGCGCACGGATGCAGACTTTGAGACTGCCTGTAGATAAGATCACCTCCTGCTGCTTCGGCGGTAAGGATTTCTGTGACCTGTACGTCACGTCGGCGTCAGAAGGACTGGATGATGACGCCCTGGCAGGCCAGCCTGAGGCCGGATCCGTCTTTAAGGTCCAGTCCAGCTCTGCTCTTCATGCTTATTTTTATTTAGACTTCGCAGCAGCCAAATGAAGATTAATTCATGTCATTATTTGCATAATAATTAAAGCAAATTTTGCATTTTTTTTCTTTACAGATCACCGGTCTTGGTGCTAAAGGAATAGCTCCATATTCTTTTGAGGGATAAATTTAAAATTTAAAATTACATTTACAACAAAAATATAATGCACAATAGGATTTAAAACGTAATTCTCTTGATTCACATGGATGCAGAGGGTCTTTGGCTGAGAGCAGTGCAGAGCTACTGAGCAGAATGAAAGGGAGCCACACCAGACAGGTATTGTGAAGGTGTCTGGAATCACTGGGCATCTGGTTTACATACGAAGAGCAGGGTGGAATAAAACAGCTCAACAGCTGCGTACCTAAAAAACAAAAAAAAGTCGAAATCTCAGACCTGACTAATACAGACATTTTGGGACCAAATCAGCTAAGATGGCAGTGAGCCAGTTCCAGATGGACCAACTCATCGCTGATCCGTCCAATTTCCTGAACAAACTGAACTGTAAGGAATTAGCTTTGCTCCCAGTGGGTTGCATTTTTATGGTGGAACATAAAATGGTTTGCTGCCTGTTAATAACATTTTGTGGTGTCTGCAAGGGACAGACAAATATGTGTTATCTGAACTTTATAAAGGAACGGGGAGATGCCCCAGCATATTCGGTCAGGCTCAGTGGATCCAGGTATCTACGTAACCTTCCTTAATTCCTGCCTTGCAAATATAATCAAACAGATAAATTAGCTGACTCAGGACCAGCAGCACTGCAGATAAAATTAAAAATTAACTTAACAAAGTTCGTTTAAATTCCAAGAACAAATATTTGCTTCGGTGATAAAGCTTAAACCGACTGATATGTTTCAGTAAACAGAAGACCATTAAATCTCTCACAATATGACATGGTTATTGAATGCCATAGTTTAAAACATAGCCAGAGAAATTGCATAGCATCTAAATAACAAAACTACTTTTTTAAATGACAGAAATGTGTATTTTAATCATTCAAGTGGAACAAGATAGAATGTATTAAAATAATTTTGTGAGAACCTATACTAGAAATTTACTGTGGTTGCATCTGGAACAATGAAAAATAAAACAACTTACTGTAATGTGCATGACTTCTATTTCTTAACATATATACAGATAGCTGGTGTTTTTTTTAAGTAAAACTGTAGTTTTCTCTTTCTCAGTGCCCTTTGCGGGTCTGGAAAACCATGGTGTTAAGCTGCACAATTTGTCGCTTATTTTAAATGCCATGTTAAGTGCAGCATTGGCAGCCCTGAGCTGGACCCGGACCGCATTGGAGTAGTAGTGATATTTCAGGGGGATTTGCGAAAACTCCGTGTCAGGAGCTGCCTGTGGATTTTCCTGAGCTCTGCGTTTCTCCAGTTTGCTTTTCCGCACTTTTGCGCAAAGCGGAAAAGCGCGTTTCAGTGTTGCTGTCAATATGTTATTTCCTTAAAATTAATTCATACTGCATATCTAATGAGTCTGCGTATTTCCCGATTTTTGTTATGCATCCGACAAAAACAATGAATATGCAAAAAAAAAAAATATATATATATATATATATATGTCAAAAACATCTCTCTGGCTCTTTAAGTGGGCTGCTTGCTGTAGCATCTGCTGATGGTTTGTATGCGAATCCGCCTGCGCCGATCTCCCTGCGCCCCGGTCCGTCCGATTGGGTCGCGGCGAGGCGAAGCTCCAGCCCCTTCTCGCTAACGATGCTGCAGCCTGTCACACAGTAGCACATTAGGATGGCTGGATGCCGGGAAAAGTTCAAATTTCGCGTTTAATAATAAGGATCGCTGTTTCTGGCAAGCCAGTTTTAGGAGACCACATTTGCTCCAAATGCTGTTGTGGTTTCATCAGAAATTTTTAAAATAAGCCAGTTCCTCCGGACAGCGCCGATGGCATGCCGTCACTGCTTGTTTCGCTCGCACCTGACAGCCGCGGCATCTCCCAGATCGCCGGAGTGGGGCTGCGCCCCTGGCGCTCCCTTCTGCTGACCCCGGCGATCGAAAACCAGATAAGCGGGGACCCTGCGGGCGGAGTGCGGCCCCGTTACGTTGCTGCAGAGCGTAAGTACAATACGATCATTAATACGGCAAAGCCTGCGATGAACAGCGCCGTGGCAGCCTGCCTCGCTCGGACATGTGCCCGCTGGGCGTGTGCTGTAATTCTCACTCAATATGATTACCGTTAACATCGTTTTACAGAATTAACTTAAATGGGGATTTAATAATTGGATGACGTTTAGTGTGAAGCGGAAGGGTCACCGCATGGGCTCCTTTGGTCATTTCCCACCACATGTACTTCGTTTTGCTGCCGGTCTTTTTTTTTTAGCCGGCCTCCTTTTATTTATTTATTTTTTATTGTCGCAAAAAGATCGTTATTTTGCGATCACATGGCTACTTTTGCTTACTGCAAAGTAAGCGCATATAATAATTACACTTCATATAAAACACATGCTTCCAAATTATTATTGTAATGTTATTAGTATTAATATAAGGCGATGAACATTTATTGCATAGCCGACTACAGTTCCGGTGCTATATGATCCAGATCGATTCTGAAGCCTTTTGACTGAAACCCTACGCTATATTTAAATATTTAGGGCTGCGCTGAAGAATATGTCGTTTATGGGAAGATCGACTTCAGACAGTATCGGGTCCCTAAGCGACCTCCCGGCGGACAGCTGGATGTCTCACCTGCCGTCTGCGCTATGGGACATGCCTCTGTGCAACTTGGCTATCCCAGGTAACCGATTATACTACACAGCCTTCACATCCGCCCATGCAATTACAGTACTGGATTGTGGTTGAATAGATGGGCGTCTTCATTAATGGAGGTTCACGTCGCTTTCGGCGAGCAGAGATACCACAATAAGAAACTGTAAGATTGCCTTTATGGACGTTTTAGAGGCTGAAATGATATTGAGGGTATATGGGTTGCTCCCTTGTGTGCCGTGCCTTCATTGGGGAGAAACGCCTTAAGCCACGTGTAAAACCTGAGTGGTTGATTACTTAAATGTGCTAACAGTATTGACAATAAATTTCAGGATTTTGAAATGGGAGAAAATTTTACTGACTGTGAGGTAGTCTGTATGTACAATGATACGTAGGCTACACATTTGTTCGTGTGACTTCTGTCACTTTGAAAAAGCCTGTTTGATCTTCAACTTTTGGCAAAGCATGTCTCTGTTTTGTAGGTAGCCACAACACAATAACTTACTGTCTGGATAAAAACGACAGGTCTCCAGTCGACCTGGCACAGCCCGATGTTCTTCAGACGCTGGACAAGTACATGAAACCCCTGATTCGCCCATTTGTGTACAAGTGGGCGATGGCGCAGGTAGGGCCCGTGTGTCGTGTAATCAGTTACGCCATTAACGACGTCGAACTCGGTTCCAATCACTGCTAGTGTCTGTTGGATATTGTCAGCTAGATATAAAGAAGAAACTGTGCCAAGATGTAGCCACGGCAACCACACATCACTTAAAGAAAGCAGTAATTGTGTTTAAAAAAAAAAAATTCAGCCACGGTCATACAGCAGGATTTAAATCAGCCGGGATGTTTTTCCGGGGGTCCTTCAGTGACAGCACCACCTAGGGGCTGCTTAGCTGCATACAGGTATTACATTACCCACAATGCCTCTGTCCTAGTACAGTCCTAGTACTTCTGTGTTAGCTGGTCAAAGTGTTAACTGAAAGTGCTGCTTTCTGATTCCTTCAGAACCTCTGATTAGTAGGTAGGTGCTGGCGATTGTTGACTGACTGATAGAATTAGTATGGAAAAATGGATTCGGCAGAGCATTAGTAGCTGTGACCATGTTTTACTGAGAGCATACCTAGGGGAACAAACATTTTGGTGAGTGAGATTACTTTGAAGGGGTGAAAATACTGCAGATTCAGATAAAACCATACTCACTCTCATGTCGCAACTGATTCTTGGTTTGAAATGAAGAAATTAAAAAACCATTTAAATTACTGAAACTACAAAAAAAAAAAAAACTGAAAAAATGTTAATGAAAAAAATTCCAGGTAGTACTACAGGACATTGACCTTTAGGTGTAAAATACTCGGTACGTCTGTCCCTGTTGGCACCTTAAGGAAACCAGTGTGAAGGAGCAGCTGGATTGTGGGGTGAGATACTGTGACCTCAGGATCGCTCGGCGACCCAACGACAACTCAGCGCACCTGTACTTCTACCACGGCGTCTACACCACAGTGACTGTAGAGGTGAGGGCAGATACATTTCTTAGACATTAATATAATGGGAATATAAGTATTTTTATTTCACAAGATGCATTCTAATACACTGTAATTCATTTGATACCAGAAATTATTTACCATAATTTAAAGTAACATTGGTGTAGCAGCTTTTTAAAAATATTTATTTTTTTGCCAGTAACATTGTTATAAGTTTTGATTACAGGAAATAAAAGTATCCCTTGCATTTCGTAAGCTTTGGCATGCGCTGCCCGATTAAGTCAGCATCTGCCTCTTCCTCAGGCTGTCCTGACGGAGATCAGAGAGTGGCTGGACATGCATCCCAGGGAGGTGGTTATCTTGTCCTTCAGTCACTTCCTGGAGCTCAACCTGGACTGTCACAACCTCCTGATTCAGACCATAAAAGATGTGTTTGTCTCAAAACTGTGCCCAAAAACGGTAGGAATAATCCGGAAGGTTCTGCTCCTGATTGTTCAGCATAAATTGAATAATCCTGTATATCCGTTCAGAGTGTTATTTGATGTTTTACTTGTTTGCTCCAGGGGAACTGAAGCCAGTCCAGCGATAACTGCAGCACATTCCCACATGCAGACAGATCGATGCATTTTGTGTATCTACATTAAAGGAACAGAAGTATTAGGACACTTGGCCATTACACCCACAGGAACATGTATGACATCACATCTAAATCCACAGGCATCAATATGGAGTTGGTTCCCCTGTTGGTCTCCCTGTTGCAGCTAAAATAGATGCCACACTTCTGGGCAAAAGCATTTGATATGCATACTAAGACAATTTGTACATTTCTATGCTTCCAACTTTGTGGGACCTGTTTGGGGAAGACCCTTTATGTTCCAGCATGACTGTGCCCCAGTGCACAAAGCAATGTCCTTAAAGACATTGTTAGGTGAGTTTGGTGTGGAAGAACTTGACTAGCCCTGACCTCAACCCCATCGAACATCTTTGGGATGAACGAGAATTGAGATTACAAGCCAGGTCTCCATGTGCAACATCAGTGCCTGACTTCACAAATGCTCTTTTGGAGGAATGGGCAAAAACTCCCCAGAGGAGTGGCAGCTGTTATAGCTGCAATGGGGGGGGCAACTCCATATTGATGCCTATGGGTTCAGAATGGGACGCCATAAAGGTTCCCGTGAGTGTAATGACCAGGTGTCCCAATGTTCCAGTATATGAATGAACTGTTTTCCCTGCCTATTTCTGCCTATTAGATTAAAATAAAAAAAATCTATCTCTGCACCTTCAGTAATCTCATGGTTGCCCGTGCAGGGAGACGGCCTCGGGCATTCATAACATACCTTCACAGTCAGTGACCAGCTTGTGTCCCACAGGAACCCATAACCCTGCGGAACCTCTGGCAGCTGGGTTACCAGGTGATCGTCTCCTACGAACACAACATTAAAAACATACACAACGAGCTCTGGTCCCACATCCCCTACTGGTGGGCCAACAAGTGCAAAGCAGAAGCTCTAATTGAGGAGTTTGAGAAGCGAAGGAAACAGCAGGGTCGCCCAGGTAGGGAGAAGTCCCTCACCCAACCTCACACACAATTACACCTTTCCAGTGTTCGGTGTTATATGATGGTGTAGCTGTAATACTCTGCACGATCATTTAGGCAGAGAATAGGGTGAACAATCTGCCCAGATCCAGAGAGGAGCCATGAATTTGGCATCTTCCCTGTGACGGTACATTGTTGAATATGCATAGGGGTTTATAGTCTTGTTAAAATGAACCGATTCACTGATTTAAGGTGGCCATGCATCTTCACTGCTGACAGGGGGCTTCTATGTAACCGGGATTAACCTCACTGAAGACTTGAAGTACATCTGCTCGCACCCTACTGAGTCCTTGAAGGACCTGGTGATGTCCACCTACCCGGTGCTGCTGGAGTGGGTCAAGGGCTTATGTCCTGGGTCCAATCCTGGCTCCATCAACATCATAGCGGGGGACTTTGTGAGTGAGAGTCACCTGGTGCCAACAGTGATCGCACTGAATGAGAAACTACTCAACTGGATTTAATGGCCAGGCTGTTCTGAATCATTCAATGTTTCCATGTGTCAATAAACATTTAGAGGTCAAATCCAAACAGGACACTTAAGATGCCCCAACAAAAGTCATGGGATAGATTGCAAATTAAAGGAAGGCCACGATCGACTTCCAGGGCGCAGTTTTCAAACACCCACCACAATGAGATACATAGTCTGTGCTCAGTTATATGCTAATGGTGATAATTGGCTGTTCATAACTATAGGAATTCCATGACTTTTGATAGGGCTACAGAGCCACAGGACAAGGTCTTTCTGACAGATTTTACACAGGACACACATAAGATTAAATGTATGATAACGCATAAATGTGTTATGAGGCACAAATACATATTTATGAGGTGCTGCTGGGTGTCAGTAGTATGAGTCATAACCTTACTAAAGCATATTCTGAACAATACTAAGATTCTTCTTATTAACACACCTACAGGTAAAATACATTTAAGCATCCAACTAGCTAAAGAATATATACAAACTTAAAACTCGTGGAAAAATTGGTTAAATTTTGGCAGATATTTAGGTTATAAATCCTTGCATGAAAATACAGTCTTATCCTTGTAACAACACAGTAAATATCCACTGCATACTGTCTAGGTTAATAAAGCATGTCTAGTTTATAATTTAGTATATTCATTTCATATTCAAGTTACCTCCACAAATAATTTTAGGGTAAAGTATGATTGACCGCCATCTTTAATGGTCAGGACTAGGATATATATACACGTGACCCCTGACGTACTTGAATATACAGTAGTTCGGGTCTGAGGTGTTGAAAGGCCGTTTTTAGAACTACTGTCGATAAGTAGGTTTTTTAATGTTGTTATACTGCGCGGAGTATTTGCGGTCTGGTGATTTGGCGATGCTAGTGTGTGGGTCGTTAGAGTGGGCTGTTATTTTTCGGCGCCCTGAAATACTTAAGGTAAGCACATTTGCACTGGTCTCTCGTGCATACATTATTTTTATGATGTTCTGCTTATTTGATAGGATAATGAAAGCGTGCAATTAATAGTTTCTCAGATCATCCCAGGCTAACTATTAGACCTACCTGACTAACTGCACATAAACAAATTACGTGTTTCTCAACCAAAAAACGAATTGCAATATAATTTTTCTAATTCTCTTGTGCGTACTGGATTGTATTTCAGCAACCTTCCGTAATTAATTGGGTCTATTTGAATAAAACATATCTGTAATGATAGTTTTTTTATTTTTAAGGAAGTATGTTTGTAGATGCATAAATAACATTTGCGTTTTGGTTCTTTAGTAATGTATTATAAAATGAATTCGTATTTAAATGGTTTTGTCTAAATCTATTAGACTAGACCAACCGAGGGTGGTGTCTATTTCATGCGTCTTAGGGTATGATACTGACAGTCCATCTAAGAGCCATACACATGAACACGCTCCCCCACTGGGGGTAATGCAAAGTCGTCAGTCAGCCTAAATGCATGTCTTTGGACGTCCGCGCGACGCAGGAAGAATCCGCGAGCTGCACACTGCCCTCTGAGCCGCTTCCGAAGCAATGTCTAAAAACACCCAGCACTGGAATTTTTTCGTTATTCACCCAACCTTACATTTTAACCATTTTGTTTATATTTATTGCAATGCTCTCTTAAAATAATTTATGTTTTAACTATAATAAATGCACTAAAGTCTTACGAATGATTACTGAATGGTTACGTATCACTATCGGCAGTGAATGTGCCTTTTTCTAGTGTTGCAATAAATCGCTTTTATTCTACCTGCTAATGAGTCCTGCAATGTGCAATTTTTTACCACCACCCCTCTCTCTCTCTCTCTCTCTCTCTCTCTCTCTCTCGTGAAGTAATGCAAAATACGCCGCCTTAATATAGACTATGTGACCGGACAATCCGAGGAAGCACATCACAGGCTTCTTTTACTATTACAAAAAAGTAAAACAAAGTGCATTTTTGAAATGTGGAACATGTAGACGGTCCCTAAGTTTGGTTTCTCTAATTGAATGCCAAAAGACACGGTAAGGGTTCTTTCATCTGAAATCGTATAAGAGAATTATTGATTTTACATCGTTGACACGGAAGCCGCCTAGATTATTATATTCACAACTTCCTGTAAATTTCCGCATTTGCATGTCGATGTGTAACGTATACAGTAGTTATAACTATATGCTTCGTGAATACCGGGTGTCTGTATTTTGTTCTTAGGAATTCCGTATTTAAAATCGCAATAAATGAAGTGAACCACGCCAAATACACACGGATCATTACCATCGGTGCTATTTGTTTGTTTGGTTGTTTGTTCTGATAGCATGGAGGGAACAAGATTAAAGGTGAACTTAGGAACCGAGTCGGACTGCGCAGACTGGATGTCCCAACTACCCGAAGGTCTATGGCATATTCCTCTGACCAGTCTTGCGATCCCAGGTTAGTAAAGGCGATGGGGATGCTGAGCTCGACCCTGTAACCAGACTGCGAATGAAGGGCGCTTCTGCGGATCTAGCTGGCGGCGGGGAGAGTGCGCTTCAGTCTTCTCATGTTAATTAACCGCGGACGGTCTTCCAGAAGTGATCAAGATAAAAGTTGCAAGCAAATGATCACATATCTGATTATTTTCTTTTGGTGATAGTAATAAGGACAAAAATTTCATGACAAAACATCCTTTTTGCGCAGGAAGTCACGATACTATGACATACTGCTTGGACCGCAGCTCTCCTCTGGTGTCGGAGCCCCCGATTCTGAGCGTGCTGGATTTTATCGTGCCGTGTATAACCCGCCCGTGTCTCTGTAAATGGGGGACCACGCAGGTATCCCGCTGCTGTTAGGGTTTACTGGTCAAACACACGTCCCTCGATCCCGCATGCTAACTGGAGCTGCTTACCCGGCTTTCGTAGGAACAGCAGGTGGCAGCCCAGCTCGACGGCGGTATACGATACTTAGACCTACGGATCGCACACAAGAGAGGCGACTACTCCTCTGCCTTTTACTTTGCTCATGGGATTTATACCCTCCTGACGGTGGAGGTGAGTAAGAAGGACGGACTGATTTTTATGCACCTTTAATTCATAGTAGATTAAATAATGATCAGTTGCTGATAAAGGCTGATTTCTTTTTCAAACCAGGACGCTCTCAGAGATATCGCTGCCTGGCTGAAATCTCACAGAAAGGAAGTGGTTATTCTTGCATGCTCCATGTTTGATGGTTTGAATGATGACCAGCACAAGCTATTGATTGGTTTAATCATTAACTTGTTCGGGGACAGAATCTGTCCTAACACGGTAAGTCATCATCTTAACTCTGGGTCAAGGTGTTTGTCACTTAATAGCTCTGATATCTCAACTGGCTGTTTCAGTTGTTCCAAATAATAGGTGCAAACGTTTAAGATTTCAAACATTTCTTGTAAAGTAGTAGTAGTGATGTAATTTGTTTAGTGTGGGGGACTGTTTTCAGAGTAGGCAGTGCTGTGTCTGTTGCTGGTTCAAGCTGGGTATTCCACCCACGTTTGCTCATCACTGGGCACTACAGTTGGTGTTTGGTGACAGATACTGTACTTCAGCTGTAAGCCAGGTGTCTTTGAAGCATTAGTGTCCTGCTTGATATCCCACCTAAAGTTTCCACCTTTGTGACTCTGAACGGATGACCAATTCTTGAAAACGGGTGGATCGTCTCCAGGAAACACTCATGAATACTATAAAAACAGATTTAAAACGCAGGGGACACAAAACCAACTGGGTTATTGAGGTGTCGGCTCTCTGTGTCGCTGTCGTTTCAGGTAAATCCTTCGCTGGGGATCATGTGGAAACTGGGCTATCAGGTCATAGTCTCTTATGATCATGAAGCAGGTTCCTCTTATGAAGAACTGTGGCATCAGATCCCCTACTGGTGGGCCAATGAGCTGGACCCTCAAAAAGTCATCGCATACCTGGAAGCCCAGAAGCGCTTTGGGAGGCCTGGTTAGTGACTTAATCCTACATGGAAAATGTATCATCTCCACTTCATTTGTATTTCAATTTTAAATATTTCACTTACTAAAAGAAGTGTTACACTTTATTTCCATATTTAAAAGACTGAGATCCAGTGACCTACGACCGAAGGGTTGAGTACTGAAGCCTCAGATGTCGTCACAGTCACTCAGTCTTGGTGCTGAGTGACGTCTATTTCGCTAACAATATCTGCGTTGTTGCTCTGTCTCTTTCACGTGGCCTGTTTCCTGAGCAGGTGACGCATGGGACTCTGTGCCCTCCAGCTGAGCAGTGTCCCGTCCTTTTTGTGTGTCTTGCAGATGGATTTTTTGTGGCCGGACTCAATCTCACAGAGAACGCCAGATATATTGTGACTCACCCCTGCCAGTCCATGAACAGCCTGACAATGAGGAATTACTCCGCCTTTTTGGAATGGGTGGCGACTCAGAGTCCCGGACCAAGGAGCACATGCCTGAATATCATCTGCGGAGACTTTGTCGTCGGAATTAAACATTTTGCCTCAGCGGTCATTGATCTCAATAAGAAGCTTTTGTGAAGCCCACTGTAACAATGCCTATCAGCAGCTATTCAGGCTTTTTAAATATATTTTTCCCTCTCCTCATTGAAATAAAATGCTTTATAAGTATTTTTACATGCAGCACTGCATAGTTATATATTTAAAGTATTAATTTGTAGAAATTGAAGGAGTTATATATATTTATATTATTTATCCAAAACTGCATATCATAGACAGTGTCCCGGGGGGATGATAAAAATATAATACATGCAATAAACTTTCAGTTTAGAGCAACAGCATCACATTTCCATTTGTTAATTTCATTGAACCTCCTTTCCTTGATCATGTGACCCACACCATACTGGGGTGCAGGGGGGGGCACCGGCCATCATCCTAATTAGTCAGGAAGAGCTTCCTATAGCGGCCGTAGGCGGCGGTGCTGATGATGACCTTCACGAGCGCCGACCCCTCCTCAGCCATGACGTCTACGTCCTGAACCGCGGCCTCCTTGTACAGCCAGCTGCGGGGATACAAGCGGACATGACTGAGACCCACGTCCTGAACCGCGGCCTCCTTGTACAGCCAGCTGCGGGGATGCAAGCGGACATGACTGAGACCCACGTCCTGAACCGCGGCCTCCTTGTACAGCCAGCTGCGGGGATGCAAGCGGACATGACTGAGACCCACCAAAAGTGGGACAAAGGCTTTACCTCTTACCACAAGCCCAGATTGTTTGGCCTGAACTCTGCTTAGCGCACACGCTAGGGCTGGGCTCTGTGTGATATGAATCCTGATGTTGCATGTTATGCGCACACGATTCTCACATCGCAAGCACCGTGACTGGACTGAATCAGGCCTTTTCATACCTTCATACTGTCTTGATATTATATCGCAAGCATGGGGGGGGTTAAGTTTCACTAAAATATTTTTATTCGGTCATAGGAAGCGAAACGTAGCAAGCTTTGCAATTTTAGTGACTGTTCCTTTTCGGATTATCTAGTAGGCCTATATGTCAAATAATTGGTTTATAGTTTACCGCTGATGCTTCTGCATGAGCTCTGCATGTGTTCTACGAGACAACCGCTCATTTTCACACTGGCTGTTTACGTCGGTCAAAGACGCGTTTGTGAGAAATTTAACAAAATGAGTGGGGAGCAGAAAAGTGAGCAACGGCTGGTCAACAAGCCATTTGCTTTTCACTATATGGAAACATTTTGGATTTTACAGAGATGATATTGAGAAAAAGCGATTTGTTGGCCAGTTCACTGCCATGCCACCAGCTTATTTGATGGCTCTGTTGGAAGATAAGTTATATTTGTCTATTGTTTACTTTGGGTAAGTTTGAACTCTTTATTTGTTTGATAAATATCACAGTATTTATCGGAAAAAATTCATACCGTGATTCTTGACAATTTTTAAATATCATGTAGCCCCAGCACAAACCCATTTTGTGTCACGTGATACACGTTGTTGAGTCCAAACTTAGGAACTACTTGCCTTAACTGGGGGCTGCTGAGGTCCACATTGAGGGTCAGAACTTGTCTGCCGGTTGCCTTCATCACCGCTGTTTCTATTGCACCCTTCAGCTCCTGCAAGCCCTGTTCTTTCAGAGCCGATATCGCAATGGCGTCCTGCTCTGTGGGCTGGTAACTGAAGACAGCAAAAGACATAATGCACCTCTAAGCACTGGAGGTACGGTCTTTCAGCGTGGCAGAGCTGCTACACTCGCGGCATGGGCAACATCTGGAGCACCTTCCTACCTGTCAACGAGGTCTATCTTGTTGTGCACCTCCACGATGGAGTTCATCAAACGCTCAGGTACCTGCAGGTTCTTCAAGACGTTCAGCACGTTCACTTTCTGGTTCAGGGTCTCGGGGTGACTGATGTCTCTGACGTGAACTATAAGGTCCTGGAAGAAGACATCTCTAGTGAAATTCTGAGGAAATCCAAGTCAAGTACAACATTACATGGGAGGTCATGGGTCACGTCTCCTAGGATCAACCATGAATGACGACATGTAAAGTTACAGAATAAAACTGGTGTTGGAGGAAATGGCGGGGGGGGGGGGGTGGATCTACCGAGTGGGACACGTCCTCCAGGGTGGCAGAGAAGGAGTCGATGAGCTGGTGGGGCAGCTGGGACAGGAAGCCGATGGTGTCTACAAAGAGGACCGGCATGCGGCTGGGCAGCTGGCCGCCATGTACAGTCACATCCAGGGTGGCAAAGAGCTGGTCTCGGGGCTGCAGACCTCTGTCTCCCGTCAGGGCTTTGATCAGAGTGGTCTTTCCTGAAAGGGAGATATCGCAGTGTGAATTTAATAAGGACACAATCAGCACAGTCACTGATCGAGGCCATATTTTAGGTGTAATTAACATGACTGAACTAATTTACAACAAGCAGTCCCAAACTGTCCAATCCATGTTCTTACCATAGAATTTAGAATTTAGTGATCATTGTCAACACACCACAGCACACAGTGCGCAACATCGAAATGTGACCTCTGCATTTGACCCATATGTGACTTTCGTGACATAGCAGGGGGCAGCTAATTCAGCGCCCGGGGAACAGTGCTTGGGGACGGTACCTTGCTCAGGGTACCTCAGTGGTGACTTGCTGGTGGGGGATTCGAACCTGCAATCTTTCAATTACAAGTGCGCTACCCTAACCATCAAGCCACCACTGCCCAATTGTTGTGAATTAATTATGAGACATAAGACAAATATAGACTCCACAGCCCTTGGTATAAAGGGTTATTAGAACATAAAGTGGGGGCACTGGGGGGGGGGCAAAGCGCAGCCCCCATGTCTCACCGCAGTTAGTGTAGCCGATGACGGAGACGACGGGGAAATCTCGGCTCTTGCGCTGGGAGCGCAGCAGGTGCCGTTTTTTCCGCAGCTTCTCTAGCGCAGAGCGGATCTTCATCTCCCGCTCCCTCAGCAGCCGCTGTTGCACCTCCAGGAACGTCTCACCTTGTTGGGGAGGGGGGTGTGCGTGTGTGTGTGTGCGGGCAAGATTAATCATTACACTGCTTCCTGGCGCCCCGCTGAGAGGTCAAAAAAAAGCGGCGACAATCTCCACCTGATCCCATGATGTATCTAGAGCCACCTCCCTGCTGGTCCAAGTTTGACAGCTCGTCTTTCAGGCGCGACCTACCAAAGGCATGGCGCGCTATTATTAACCAAACAATTCAACAGAAATCATTTAGGCAGCCTGGCCACTAGATGGCGGTAGGACTTGAATAACCACAATAAAAAAGAAAAACTTATTAATGAACATGGGTATTACAAATCTCAGTAAATGCAAAGCAAACCTAGACGTTTCAGTCTATAACCCTAAACTGTGTGACAGTACTAACTGCCCTCAGATATACATGAGCAGAGCTGGGGGCCTCGTGATTACCTGAGGAGGGGGATTTCAGCAAGAGAGATCTGTAGCTTAGCCTCCTTCGTGCGGGCATTGCAGCGGAAGATGTGGAGGACAACAGAGTACCTGTCAAAGACCTTCAGGCCCCAGGTCTCCTCCAGCTCCCGCTGAGAGAGAGCACACATGCAGAAGATAACAGGCTGCCTTCAGAGATCAGGCCACAGGTGTGACGGGGAGCAGACTAGCCAAGCACCAGCTTACCTCTGACAGAGGGCTCAGCCGTTCTACGTTCATAAACACTGCAGTGATCTGTGGCAGTCGTTTGATCCTTTCTGAAAGCAAAACCGAAACAGCTGTACCATTTGTGGCTCTGCGGGTTATAGCCCTACCTGGAAGGGCACACATTAAAATGATGAGGCAGCAGCGTGAGCGGCGTAGGCATTCGGCAAAGTTCACAGAGGCTTCCACACCTGTAAGACTTTTGAAATTCCCCTTGCCAAAGATAGTCCTCTTCTCAGGGGTCTTTGTGGAGAGTATGATCTTGTCCACAACTGTCCAGTTCTGCAGGGTGTTCACCAACCCCACCGCCTCCGCCATCATGAGATCAGCTTCCAAACAGATATGATGTCATCTTAGGTATACAAAATCTCAATCACATTTCCATTGTTTTCTGCTTAAATGTAGCAATAAATTGATCATTTACCATACAGGGCTCCAGATGGTTACTAAAATGGTCTATACGACTAGATTTTTTATTTTGCCACTAGTTTCGCCTCTCACAATCCAAGATTTTTTTTTAATAAAAACTAAAATGAGAAGAAAAGTGGCAGATTTTAATTATGTGCAGACATGGAATCTCACAAAGGTGGGATGGACTTCTGCGAGATCTCGCAATCTTTTCCGTCACTAATTATAACTCGACTGTATCCGTTTAAGGTACAAATGGGAGAATTTATTCATGGACTATTAAGTATAAACCTAAACGATACAGACATGTATTAAGACAATGCAGAATACAATAGTAGGCAGGTCAGGTAGCTCAGATAGAAAGTAAAGGCAGTGTGAGGTAGACCGGAGACAAAATGTGCCATGTAAGTATTTTTTATTTATTTCACGTTTGGCATGTGATGGAGATTATGGCTCCTAAAGTTTTTTTTTTTTTTTTGTCTAAAGCCCTGCAATAAGTATTACCTGTAGTGAGCTGTGGCTTCTTACTGCCCCACTTGACATCCGGGTGCACGATGACGATCCTGTGATCATCAGAGCCAACTCTGGTGGGGACCTGCTGCAGGAAGAGCTCCTCCACCTCGCTGTCATCCAGGACGTCCTCCCCAAAGTCCTCATCGTCTTCCCCTATAGCACCTTCATCGGGAATGGTTTTCTTACTCTTCAGTTGGCTCGGGGTGGTGGAAAAAGAACGGATATGTCTTTGGCTGAAGCTCACACGCGCCGTGTAGACCTGCGACCCGGTGACGGGTGCCGTGTAATGCAGTCTCAATGCATCCGCGCAACATCTTGCCTCGTTGCATTTGGGAAAAATCCGTAATAAACGACTTTTCCAAAAAGGATGCAGTCCAGGACACCTGTAATATCTCCTTTTCGTGAAGAATTTCAGAGTACTTGTATTTATCATGCAGTACTTCCAAATAAGTTCCATGGCACTCGATAACTTACAGGATACATACCCATAACCCGCCTTGCGAGGTTACGAAAATAACATCATGAAAGAAACATGAGACAGATAAATCCGGACTAGGAGTAAACGCTGCCACCTTGCCTGCAGTAGCACTTAGATTTTGTCAGGAATAACAGCACATTTACTGCGTTACAGCCCCGTAACGCCGCAGCAAGTTAAACATGGCCGACCGGTTTCGACGATTTCCGTAGACAGTCGAAGGTTTCCGAAGATGCGCATGTTCTGTGCTCCCACAAGAGGTCCCCCTTTCGCACAGGACTGTTGTTGTGTCTGGCTGGTGATCTGCTTGGGTCACGTGTAGGGCAGTTACCCCGATGGCTACACCTCCCACTAGGACCCTTTCAGCTCTGGCCTATTAATAATTTCATATCAACAACTGGCTAAATCTCGCTTCTCCCTTACAGTTTCCTCTACGCCAGGTTAATGAGGCGGCCTCCTGGGATGCTTTTCCAGCTGTCCTGAAGGAGGTCCCACATATATGCTGAGCTCTCATTGGCTGCTTTTCCTTCCCTCTCTGGTCAAACTCCTCCAAAACCTTTTTCTATTGGGTTGAGGACAGGTGGCTGTATCATGTGACGCGACATTATCTCTCCTTTGTAGGCGGCTTGGGGTGTCCAAGCTTTTCACTGGTACTGTACATCTAACACTGATCATTTTTTAAAACATGTGGCATCACTGTTAGTATTGTCATGGCAAAGGATTTTTAAATTATGTTTCATTGTCTTGCTTATACTAATTTAAGAAGCACTTGTTTCCAAGCATATTAAATCACTAGCAGAGTTGTGCAATTTAAAAACAGTAAAATTTTAAATAATCAATTTAATTAGTGTGCATGAGTCATTTGTTAACATGCTATACAAAATGCAATAACACTGCCTGTTAAGAAGATTAATCATTTCCACTATTTAGGATTTAATGTGTATCTTAACTTCATACTCATATGAGAGTTAGAACACTTGTCTCTCTGTGTAAACAAACTCAATAAACAATACATTTTATTCATTACTTCCATCATTTTAAGTGTATGTGGGGGGGCTCGGGGGGGTACTAACCACTATACTAAAGGGGGGGGGGAACTAACCACTATACGAAGGGGGGGGGGGGACTAACCACTATACGAAAGAGGAACTGGAAAACTGCCACTAATTTGAATTTTACTTGACACAAAGAACAAATTGTGAAATCCACTTTATTCTTACATTGAGTGAAACGTCTATCAGTAACAGACACACCACCAATAATGTCATAAATTAGCAGTTATCTCTTTAAAAATGACATATGCTACTTTCAAAATAACATGATTCTCATGTGACCTTCTGATCTGGATCTGGCAGTAATTGCTTCAGTAGCAAATATATTTAAATCTAAATACAAACCAGATAGAGAGTGATGAGGTTATGGACCCTGGTCCACCTCCATACCCACTAGCTGTAGAATATAACCTTCTTCAGTGCTCTCCACCCACAGAAGACATCATGGTGTGTGTCTGCTGGTAGCTCTGGTGCCAGTCACCACCTCTGCTGGGGCATGTTCGAGCCGGCCAGTGCCAGCTAGCTCTCCGGCACAGCGTTCACACTGTACAGGTCTCCCCGCCGCTGGGTGGAGATGGGGATCTGCTGACGCACCTCCGCCAGGTACTGCAGGTCTGGGGAGGGAGGGGGGGGCGTATGATGCGGGGTGAAAGCGCTGGTGGTACTGAGGCAGACAGCCCCCAGCCAGTAATGCGATAGCTGTGTAATATAAGGGTCTCTGCTCCCTTAAGACCAGGTCATATTTCACTCTCCCGCGTGCGTTTTCAGTTGCGGACGAGGGCCAGTAATGTAAATTTTATCATCAGGGATTGGCTGCCGATGACTGCGGTCGGTGCGTGTGCAGCCCAGATTTTTACATCTAGCGGACATCTTGCGCGTCTGTGCGTGTCGACTGTGAATGTGCAAGATAACTGACTAGTTACTTCCAGTAGGTGGCAGCACCAACTTTCACAGATCAGTCAACAACTAAAAGGTAAAGGAAGAATAGTTGTTGTAATGGCCATGGTGAGCAGCCGAATGTCTAGTTTGTCATACTGTCCAGACATTATACCGGGGTATATGATATTTTGAAAAGCAACACTATTCTGGTATTTTGAAATCTTGGCGATAAAATTCACCAAGCAGCAGTGGGCCTGACCAATTTTGTCGTAAGGATTACAAAATCCCACAGTACACATTATTACTGTAATACTGGCCAAGCCTTCATTGATAACGTTAAAACTGTTCATAAAAGTTTACCCGTTTCACTGCATCGCTTGTATTTGTGCTGGTTGCGGTACACCTGCCCGCTCCTGGTCTGGTGGAATATCACTGCTGTATGCAGCACCGTCCGCGACCATCTGCATCCGCAGCCAAATGTAGTATGAACACAATCTGGCGCACACGACCGTGCGCAGCCTGCAAGCGCACGCGGAAAGGTGAAGTATGAAATGGCATTTAGGAGTCAGCCATGATCATACAGGTCTCTCTCTGGTCTGAGTCCCGTCACTGATTTTTTTGCCACGTTCCTTTCATAAGTTAGGAGCCAAAGACTGAGACCAGCAACAATCTGAAGTGATGATCCCTAGCCAGTTCATTTTGAAGCCGTCAAAAAAGGAACAATGCGCCATCGGGAGAATTTATTTATAAATACCCAATATCGCTATGGAAACTCTGAGCAGCGGTACTCACCGATGTCGGCGTAGACCACAGTCTCCTCCACTCCAGCTTTCGTAATCACCTCTCCCCTACCATCACACGCAGAGCAGTTACCCCTCAGCAAACAGACCTCACCATATGTCCAGGACAAAAGCGTGTCTGCTTTTGGGGACTGGGTTAAACTTTCTGCTAAAAACATCCATGGACTGCAGAGCGTAGTGAAGCACCGTGTCAGAAAACACTAACGGCCACACAATCTGCCTGCCTCATTACAGTCCTACAATCCGCACAGGGAGGCAGAAGGATCACTGACCAAGGGCTGACGACCGTGCTGTGGCCCCAGGCCACGTAGGAAGCTGCTTCGTCTCTGGCTGGAGAGGCTGTCGCCACATACACCTGGTTATCGACCGCCCTGATGAAGAGGCAGGAAATCAGTGACAAGGCACAAATAAGAAAAGACAAGACTTCATCTCAGGGGGAAATTCTTTTAATGAAAAACAGTCTCCCTGTCGAGGAATCAAACCCTGGTCTCCCAAGTCCAGACCAAGATTTTGTTTCAGCCAACCTGTTCAGTACTACGTGACTGTGAATATTTATCCCAGGGGTAGGGACAGGACTGGAGTGGGAGTTGAGAACCACTGTTTTATTATTGGCTGATTGAAAGGTCATCCCAAACACCTGCACCGGCACTCCATGGTGAAAGGTCATCCCAAACACCTGCACCGGCACTCCATGGTGAAAGGTCATCCCAAACACCTGCACCGGCACTCCATGGTGAAAGGTCATCCCAAACACCTGCACTAGCACTCCATGGTGAAAGGTTATCCCAAACACCTGCACCAGTAACAGCACTCCATGGAACAGGCTCCCCACCCCTTGTTTTATACTCAAAAACAAACAAAATCAAAATCTTGGTCTGGACTTTTACTCTCTGTACCTGAATTACCCACCTCTGCCCATCTGACAGACAGAAATACTAACAACTACACTAAAGCTGGATTGGTTTTGCCATTATGACATAATATGACACGTAATCACCATTTCGGCACACCACCTATGCAGGGCCCTGGAGGAGGTCTTTGTTTGTTCTGGTCCCACACTGTCCATGATTGGCTGACATAAACGTTACGCGGCCGGGTTGGTCAACAGGACTAATTCTGCAGTTACCAACATGCTTTGCACTGCACCAAACTTTAAATAGTAAATTAATATGTATATTCCGGTATTTCTTTTAATAGTAAATGTCATAACCACAATACGTTTATTTGCACTCTGCTGCATCAAAAAAAAGGACATTTGCACCCTCTAGGATTCTGGTTTGACACAGAACAAACAAGGTGGCGGCATCATTTTAAGTATGTGACAGATTGTTCTCACCAACGTGTTGGATTTTGTTTTGTCAGGATGTCGTTTGACGCATACAGGCACTTCAACAAGGAGCTACCTAGAGGTCTAGAGGTCCCTGTGCAACAAGTCTGACTAAACCATCAGTTCACTATGGGGGTGCTGGTGATCACTCACCTCCCCCTCTGCAGGAGCTCCCAGTGGGCCGGGCCAGTGGTCATGTTGAAGGCTCCTGGGTAAACCAGCAGCTGGCACCCTGCAGAGGAGAGAGCAGAAATGAACCTCCCACCAGAATGAGGCTATTCAACACTGCCATCATACACCGACGTACTCAGAATCAACAGACACTGTCAGGAGAAACACACACCTCTGTATATATGGCTCGCTGTAAGCTCAGCTACCACCGGGTCCTTGCAACATATTGATTTAACGGTTTAATTTAAAGGAGAAACAACGTCAGGGTCTGATAAACATGCAAGCTGGGCCCACCTGAGACGTTGCCCTTTTGAGTTTCAGGCCAGGTGGCAGCCTGGTAAGACATGGGAAGGGGCCGGCAAGCGTAATGCTGTGCTGGGAGCTGGAATGAGGTGGAAACCAGTGAGTGATATGGTTCCTTACCTCTTTTGGCATAGATCTGGGCCAGTTCAGCAAACCGCATGTCGTAGCAGATCCCAACGCCTACCTTACAGAAGGCTTCAAAGGACAGAGAAACGAGAGGGCTGAGAAACATGCAACGGGCTAAAACAGTTCTACGTGCGGCCAGCAGGGTGAGTAGTAGTTAAAGAGCAGAATCTTTCATGCAGACACTGCTAGTCTGAGTCCTGTGAAGTACACAGTTGTTGTGATGTCACGCGGTGCCTAACAGCTGAAGGTGGAGCTTAGGGGTGAAGTGAGGAGCGTGGTGGAACTCACGTGTCTCAAAGACTGACAAACTGCTGCCTGGACTAAGTGTCTCCGATTCCTGGAAGCGGATTTTCCCGGGTACGTCGATGTCAAAGAGATGGATCTTTAGGGGAAAATGGGGGCTTATTCTAACACAGTGAATGAAAGCACAGCATTTCTGCTGTATGTGCAAGTGACAAGACCGGCCAGGGGGCAGGGGGGCGAACTTTGATTATCCACCAAGATGGTGCCCAACCTTCCTGTGTTTCAGCAGCATGGAACCATCTGGCCCAAAGATAGGACAGGTGTTGTACAGCTTTCCCCCATCCTCTTCTGGAATGGACCCTGGAATGGGCACGAAAAACACCTCAATCATCCAATCCAACACCAAACACATCTACATACATGATGTAACTGGACATAACTGCAGAATTTAAGCGTAAAAGTTGACTAGTTGAACACAGAGCTGGTAGGCAAGGTCTTTACCTCCAACCAAGTAGACGCCGTTCTCTTTGGCCGCCTGTGATAGAGCCTGTGTTGACTCCCCGGGGATCTTCTCAGCATATTCGGGGAAAAACTTGGTCCCATAAGGGGAGTTAAAGCACTCCTGTAGGCAGCAAATCACAGAGGGGAAGACAAGCCATCTGATTCATTAATAACACAGATAGTTCAACAGATCTGACTGGACTGTGCTGCTGTTTGATGCTATGTTGTATGTTGTTATGCTAGGTTAACCCCTAAACAAGTGACAATGCTTATTGTGCAATAACACCAGTTCTGGGATGAAATTCTATATATCTTTCTCTATACTGTGGGTTAATGATACTTACAGGCAGAACGACGACTTTTGCACCCTGACCCGCTGCTTCTTTCACCAGCTCCTGTGCTCTCCTCAGATTGTCTGCCTTCACTTTCGTAACATTGAGCTGCACCACAGCCAGACGGAACTCTGCACCATGGAGCAGACCGGTCACTTAATAACTACCGACCTCCAGTTGTTCTTCTGCCTTACTGCTTTAGTTGTCCAAGTCCACCTAGTGATAGAACTTTGCCGTTTTGGACCAAGCCAAACTGAACTCCTAGCAGTGACCACTCAGAGACCAATATAAAAACGATATTTAAGCGTTTGTGTGCGGAAAACACTTATATTGTATTTAACGTATATATTTAGCTGTCACTTTTGTCCAAAGTGACATACGAGAGAGGCAAACAGCAGGTAGCAAACAACACATACATGCTGTCAAGGAGTCAACTAGGCGTAATTGCGGCTAGGCTGAGCTACAATAAAGTACGATTAACCATAGAGAAACAGTAGCCCTCAAAGTGAAGATCAGGCCAATGATCGCACCGCGGTAATGATCAGGCCGTCGTCTTGTGTTGCTGTCTGATACGGAGCGCATGTTCGTGTATAGCGGGATACCGTGTTACCCGATGGAAATGCCAGTTGCAGAATTTATAAACCCTCAACAAACAAAAAAATCACTAACAAAGTCAAATTATTCCATAGCCTTCATGTATCACTAATACTTTTAGTATCAATTCCTAAAATCTATATATATCGCGAGTAAACACTTGTCCGTATAAGTATGTAATATGGCACTTCAGAAAACGCACGCATTATGTTCAAATGTGAAATCAGACGTTCAATACTTACTAGACATTGCCTTAACCAAGTTAGACATAACTCATCTGCCTCTCCGCAAAGAACGCAGTAACTGAGTAAAGACAGCGGCTCTCCGTTTCCGGGGGCCACCTGGAGGCCAAATATTCAAAATAAAAGTCCTCACATGTACCAGGGAAAACTACAAGAACCTATTAATAAATGACTTTTTTTGTCAGAAAATGGAACAGTAACCAGTAACTGGATGACAGCTGCAGAGACATCAGCTCTTCAAGATGCTAAGAATCACGGTCACTTACAGAGCATTTATATGCAGTGCGGTCGTACCTTTATAGTGAAGCTTTAACATTGCCCATTTACTAAAAGGGAAGTACAACGCCCTCATGCGGAAGTTTCAATGAACAACTTACAGTTTGGGATCTTGTTTATATTAACAAGGCTTAATGTTATACCTACGTCTCACCTTTATAATGTCATTATAAAGCATTTCGACAATAGATGAATCACTACCAAAAATATATATTATATAATGACACCCAAATTAAATGTTTGGTTCAACTGTAAATTTATTAAAACAAAAAAAGTTCCAAATAAAGAACAGTTGTGATAAGGTGCATTTAACATAAGTAAAACTGTATGATTACACACTTTAGAAAACTGAAGCGTTTTGAGTCTATATAATTTCCCATGTGATCTGAGGGGAATTGCTATACACTCGCCACAATGCCTTATCCGTAGGTCCACCTCCTGCACCGCTGTGTTTGCATAGTGTGGGAGACTCCCTCGAACCCGGGATCAGTCTGCAGCTTCATCCCGCATTTATAGGTTAATGGGAACGGTACGGCTGGACCCGTTCCCCTGCCAGAGAACGCGGTGCCGTGTTTGCTTTTAGTGATTTAAATAGCTGAATGTCTAACCCTATATATGAAGCACTAGTGAGGGAGCAGAGTAAAATAAAGGGCGTTGTAGCTTTTAGAGTGTTGGCTCGTGCCAGGAGCGCGCCATCGCGGAATCTGCCGCCTTTTCCATCGCCTTTCTTCTCAACGAAACCTACGTGGACATTGACCCAGTCTTTTGTTTTGCTTGTTTTGAGCGCGGGTTATTTTATTGCAAAACCATCATTCCTGCTGATAATTTCACTGCAAATAATAATATTTATTAAATTAAAAGGGAAAAGGCGGGACCCGTTCGGAAGATAGCGAAGACTCCATATCTATGCCGCAGACTTCTAAAAGGTAATGTGCTCTTTTGTGTGTTTGTATGCATCTCCCACTGATTATTTTCCCTCAGGTTTAACTTCAAAATCAAGCCACGATTATTTGTAACAAAACCTTACAGTATATACAGTACATGTTGGAGAAAGCTCACCACTCTTTCTGCTCAGGGGATGCTAAATGCTAAATCCCAAAAACAAGATGGAAACTCCTATCAAAATTAAAAGCCGTTCCCACTTAATTGAGCCAGAACCGTCTACTAGTGGCTGCATCCTAATGTTTGTATGTATAATACATCTTAATGAGATTTCATTTGGGTTGTCTTTACCAAAATCACACATCAATAATGATATTTCAGTCATGACTATCAATCCATCCTCCAACTATTATCCTCGTCGGGGTCATGGGCAGTCATTATAGTTATAGTTTCACACCCTTAAACCATTAACCTTAAACCACCACTCTCCTAGAGGCTGCTGCAGCATCACAGCCACATGTCTTTGGCCCATGGTCGCAATGTTAAGACATCTTGGGTGAGAGTGAGGGGGGGGCAGTAACCGCTCCACCAGTACTGCTCTCCACAACTACCTGTCCACACCCGCAGAAACATCTAGCATGTTCTGCATCTAGCGTTTGCAGAAGGCAAGACAGGAGGGCTTAAATAATAGCGTACAAAAAAAAGTCACCAGGAAGAGTAGTGAATGACTGCTTCTCCAATCAAATCTTCCAGTAAGTGGGACTGTTCTATGATGAAGTCCAACAGTGTTTTCAACAGGAAGAAAATGGTTGATAGGTCACTTATCACCTTCTCCCCACTGAAGCTCTGGGCAGGAATCTTAAAACTCATTTGGAGATGAGCATCAGTACGGCCCGGTAGCGTTTATTGACGGACATACAGCCCCTCAGGTGTAACGTTCACTGGGATCTAGCAGGTAGTTAGGGTCGACCATCATCACTGCAGGTTTTTCTCATGTGTCTGATGTGGAAGGTGGTGGGGAGCAACGGAGAACGCCTCATCCTCCGCTGGCACGGACCCCTCTCGTGATTCCTTGCACCATCATCAGAGGCCTCCCCTTGCAGTCTTCTCTACTGTTAGGTCTCCAGGGCGTCCAGCACCTTCATGATCTGCTGCTTGATGGCTTTGGTGGCATCGCCAGCGTTTGGTATCAGATATCTGGGAAGGAAGAGGAGAGTCATTTGGCATGAGCGACTTCAGGATTCCTCATTAAGGATGGAAATTACGATTGTTTATAAATGTAATTTTTGGAGCAAAGAGTTTTACTTGCGGTGTTCACAGAAAATACTGGGACGCTTTCTTAGATCATTAAAAATGTTATAGATTTATTGTTTTCATAACAGAAGTCCATTGACAAGCAAAAACTGAAAACTTGCATTTCACACACTGGCCATTACCTCTCCACTGCCTGGATCTCCACGCCGGCTGTGTTGCTGTTCCCAAACTTGAAGGTGATGAGCTCAGGGTGCTTTTTCTTGGATGTGATCTTCACCACAGAGTTGAGGGCCTGCCTTGATTGGATGTAAGCGAAACCCTTCCGGGAGGCGATCTCACGCAGGCAGTACATGTGTGTGGCCGTCACTAGGAGATGACTGTGGGGACACCGTGGGGGTTGGGGCATGGGTAGAAAATGCCACTACCATCTTAAAGTCATGGATGTAGACTATCAGTACAACACAGTGGCCGAGACAGTCACTCAGCAAATCCACAACTCCCTCAAAGACATTCCACATTCAGCAAATTTGGTGCTGGGATCCCAAGTACTTTGTGGGCTAATTTTAATGTGGAAAAAAATATATTATATATATATATATATATATAAACGGGTTTATTAACAAATCAGTGGCTGGCAGCCCTTGCTATCTCCCACTCATTTCAGTTCATGAGGAAGCTCCTTACCTGGGGAACATGTGGCCCGTCTCCTTCACCTCATTGCAAGTCACATGGTACTTGACATCTGGTTTGTTGATCCAGGTCTGAATGTTGACAATCTCCTTGCGGTCATCATCAGAGACAGATGAACTGTCAATCTCATCTGGGGGGGGGGGGGGGGGGGGGGGGGCACAGGAAGCAGACTGGCTCATCATAATGTGGCATGGTGATTTTGAGCATGGGACTATAGCATTTGACTGGCACCAGGATGATGCAGCGACCAAATGTTTATTTGGTAGAAGCACAGTGATATCAGACTGGCTCTGAATCAGTCTTAAAGCACCTTGACGTTTGTCTCAAAGACAAGACAAGATTCAGGCAGACTCCGCAGTCAGCTAACCTGTGTCATATTCCTCCTCGTCACCGATGCTGAACACAGGCTTGACACCCCGGTAGGGTTTTCCAACGCGGTCGCTACTGCTGACATGCCTGAAGAGGAGGGGAGAGAGGGCATGTCCACACACACACAAACCATAAGGTAAAACTGCTCCAGAGCGAGGCGCCTTCCCGCTTGCCCCAGGAACAAGGCAGCCCACACTGAGAAATGCATGGGTGTCCATCAGCGCAATTAAAGGGATAACGACAGAGAGCCAGCCTGTCTGCAGACAGAAAACCTGTTAATGTTTACAGTTAGGCTGCAACACACCTGCATCAGGTAACAGTCAGGGCATTGTAATGAACAAAGAGTGTGGGGGACAGTAAAGGGGGTACTGTATTCAATTCATTTTTATATAGCGCCTTTCAGAGTCACCCCAAGGTGCTTCACATGGCTGTGTTGTGATACATTACATCATTAAGACAATAATAGAAAAACAGGGGAAAACGGAAGACAAAGAAATGAAAAAGTGCCAAAATGACAAAGGAAGAGGGGAACCAAGAAGTAGGGAGGGAAAAACAAAAATGTAGAATGGATCCATTAAAAAAGTATTCACAGTACCCCCTGTGGACCCCTCAAAGACCATGGCTGTTACCTCATAGCAGGTGTTCATACTATAGTAAAAGGGACCTGAGAGACCCGCTGAAGCAGACAGACGAAGGGCGCGTCCCGGAGTTAGTGGAGCCCGCAGGCTGGAAAACTGACATGACGAGGCCCACGGAGCGAACACCGTGGTTCCGGGGCACAGAGAGAGCAGCTGGCGGCAGCATTAGCGACAACTGAGCCGGGCAACGTGGAGGAAACGTTCCAGGGCGGTGACCTGGGCGACACACGCGCCAGCAGGTATTACGCATGAACGCTACCTAGTGACAACGTGCTTGTTAGTGTAGCGCAGCCATTGGCCTTGCAGCTCCAGGAGTGCCCGGGTGGGTGGCGCCACCCTGTGGTAGTAGGTGAACAGACACTGGTAGACATGCTAGCGGGGAAAGAGACACACGGGGCAACTCTTACCGGTCCAGAATCCCCTTCTCTGGCCAGGGCAGAGTGAAAGATATTCTATCACGAAATAAGGCGAAATTCGTGAGGCTTGGAGCGGATTAAATACAGAGACAATTCATACAAATTAGAGGAGAGAAATCAAACAGGAGCTTTACAGCAGATCACAACCCAAAGGAAAACAATGAGCAAAAGAGCACATTTGTGGAATCAAGTGACGGAGACCCCTTACCTGTCCACTGGGGTGGATGTGTTCTCAATGAAGCTGATCACCTTCTCCTTCACATTGACAGACTTGGACTTGAGGGCGAAGGTCATCTTGTTCACTAGGGACTTGACGCCTTTGCCGTCGCCGTTCAGGTTCTCCCCCTGCTGGCACGGCAGGAATGTGCCACACTCAGGGACATTTCCAGCAAAAGCAGCTTGCAGATTCATTCGTGTGCTTAGAGGGTGATGGACTTGCTGTGCTGATATGTGAAGCTTCTATTTGGGTTGATGGCCAATCAACGTCTTTATTACCTTCAGTCTTTTCACTGCCATTTTTATCCTACAGTGAGACTAACAAACAGCAGATCTACTATGGAAGCACCAAGTGGGTTTTCTCCTTGTA